CTGCAAGCTCTGCCAAAATGATCCTTTTGCCCGCACACTTTTGTACTCACAAGTGCCATCTTATTACGTCTGAAAAGGCATAAAGGAATGGATGCGTAGATTGATAGATCAAGATATACCGGAGTACCCTGGCATTAAGTTTGATAGGCGCCTAGGTAGAATATATACTGTATATCCCAGCCAACATGAATTCTGTTATCTTCGTCTCTTTCTTCACGAAGTTCAACGTCTAACATCATTCCAGGATCTTAAAAATGTAAAAGGACTTGTCTTGTACGACATACCAAGAAGCATGCTTGAGTCGAGGTTTGCTTGAAGATGATTCACAGTTGGATGCAACAATGGCTGAGGCTATTGGGAATCTTAAACCGCTCTTTACAGTCCTATTGCAAACATGTGAAGTAAGTGTTCCTGACTCTCTGTGGCACAAGTATAGCGATAGATTATCTGAAAACTTTAAGCACCAAGCCTAACTTCAATTTCCAGGTATGGAAATATCTTTCAGTGATGAAGTTTACAACAGAGCATAAATTGTTATAGAAAAAATGTTGTTTCTATGGCAGGGAATGTATTACATAATATGGGTTGATCAAATCTCGTCGAACTGGGACCGATGCCTTACTCACTAAGGTTTTGAGAAAAACATCTTATGATATCCATTCTGTGTGTGCATATGTTGATGAAAATGAGCGAAGCTTGCTTCCGAACCAAAGAAACATTTTATGATATCAGTAACACTTCTCCAAAGTTGGAATGTTCTTCCTAGATGCTCTTGGAGCGGCAGAAAATACATTTGTTACAAAACTGCTTTTGACCAAAGTTCGACAAAACAAAGACAGCTTTAGTAGTGGCCTCATCTACTTTTGCTGAAACTTTAAACTTTAATTTGAACTTGACTATATCCGATAATCCAATTTGCGGATTCAATAAAACCTCTGAAATGGCCCAAGTGCTAAAAAGGTACAGGTTCATTGTATGAGATTTATGTACCATGGCACACATGGCAGCTCTGGAAGCACTGGTCCGAACCATGAGAGACATTAGGGAATATCAGTCGCCTTGGGGAAGTACAAGTGGCGATGTGGTCGCAAACTGGGTTCTCCTGCTTGCATGGCATAGTACAGAGTCCTGTAGGCAGACACTGGGTTTTCCAGCAGCCATCCCCTTGACCCAGGGCAGCACTACCTCCTCAAGTCACTTGATGTAGGCCTCTGTGTGGAATCTGAAGCCCTGTGTAAAAAATAAATGAAGATATAACGTCGCCACCACTAGTGATCACTCTAAATACATTCGTAAGCACCACTAGGCGCATCCAACTCTTTCCGAATCCTCTGCACTGTCTTCAGATTGCCACCCAAAAACTCTGAAATGTTCGTATTGGAGCACCTGGTGCGAATGTCACACATTACAGCATGCCGTTTCCAAATTTCTGGAGGAGTGAATTGCGTCATGGTGCTCTTTTTCTCATAAACAGTGCCGACTTGATCATACTATGTGCAGTCAACAAAACCGAAAACAAACAACGCATGCGCGAAATTAAAATGATAAAATCTTGATAATTTGTCCATCGCAACCTGTATATCGATAAAGCACACTTATAGCGGACCGTGGGCTTACCTGTTGTTAAATTAGGAACACGTGCGTTTATTCCTGCTAGACGAAGGTCCACTACATTGCCGACTCAGAGATTGAATCCACCATGAAGAATTGTAAAGGAAACCAACAAGACCGATGTATATATACAACAAGTATATGTATTAAACAACACAAATTTACTATGGACATCGACATTAACATTTATGTTTGTGTGTGAATGTAAATAGTTTGTTTGGTGAATATGCGTGCGTACGTGTATGTGTGTATAATGTTCATGGGTCTCCACAAGTGGGAAGACGCAATCTTCTGCGAGAGATTACATTGTGGATGTGTTCGCTGAAAATGAAGAAATGAAAAAAGGGGACGAGGCAAGAAATCGCCCAGTATTTATAGTGTAGAGAGAGCGTGCCCAAGTGAACAACTTGGAAATTAAGGTGTTAACTCCGACACTCACCTGTTTTTAATCAATTCGCTCCAAGCAAGATGATAATACCAATCAGTCGCTAGGGTCTACTGGGAGTGAAAAAGAATGGAAAGACTTTAGAAGGAACTAGAATCCACATCCTAAAAAAAAGAACAAGAAATAAGGCTCGACTCCTGCTCAGAAGACCGTGGAGGAGTAGATACCGGGCGATAAACGAAACACTATTTTAAAAGAAATGAGAACAAATTAATATTTTTGATCGCATATTCATTATACAGATCGAAGTTCAATGATGGTTGCACCATCCAAGATAATAATTAAAGTATAGTTCATAAGACTGTCATAAGAATAAAATAAAGTTTACGATAAATTATACATACCATGTGAAATATTATATCCAGAAATATATATATATATATATATATATATATATATATATATATATATATATGAAGAAAAATATACAGAAAAAACAAACAAAAATCTTAATATGCAATTATGCTGTATTAATGTTAATATAAAGTCAACGTCGGACGTTTCGGTCTATTTTAGACCATCTTCAGGACATTATCATTCAAACATAATTAACATTAGAACATATAAAAATTCAACACGAAAAGACGATGAACATAAGAGCACAACTAATCCAAACAGATAACTGAAATTTTTATATAAGATCAGCGTTCCGTTTAATTATGATCACGTCGTCGTCACGTGAGCGATGTTGTGAAAACGTATTCGAAGATGATTTCCAAATATTAGAATATTAAAAAATTGGATTGAACTATTTTATATAAACAGTTCAAGAAATCCCTTCCGTTGATATAGGAATACGCAGAGATCAATAGGTTCTTATATCTTCATACAAGCTTGAAGTCCTCCACGTTACAAAGCAAATCAAAAATGTCATCGTCTTTTCGTGTTGAATTTTTATATGTTCTAATGTTAATTATTTTTGAATGATAATGTCCTGAAGATGGTCTAAAATAGACCGAAACGTCCGACGTTGACTTTATATTAACATTAATACAGCATAATTGCATATTAAGATTTTTGTTTGTTTTTTCTGTATATTTTTCTTCATACTGTCGGATCTATATCCATATATTTGCTTATATATATATATATATATATATATATATATATATATATATATATATATATAGAGAGTTAATGAGAAAGTAAAAGCAATTTTGAAATTACGCGGTACACATGGGATGACGGATAGCTAGCCACACATAGTATTTCATCTTTCAGTCAAGATCGCATATTCACTATACAGATCGATAGTAGAAGGGGGCAATGAGGTTAGATGTATAGACGTTCCCATCAGGGATTGCAACATCAAAAAACAATGCGCTGTGGTGCAGAGCCAGTCAAATCTTTAGAAATCTATCGACGGATTTTGGCGTAGGAAGAAGCATGGACTATAATTCAACCAATGCTTCAGACATGACTTCTTTTGGAAAGAAATGAAGAAGCTCATTGTACGATACAGGAAGTGAAACGCTGTTCATGGGAACTATGTCGAAATGTGACATATGCATTTGTTCTTCATTAATAGAGATAAAGATGGTACATTTTAATTTACCCTCGTATTTCCATTTTTGGCTTCATAAGCTTTCTTGGAATTAGGAAAATATTAAAAGTCTCTTATAAAGTGAAGTATTTCTAAAATGCTGAAAAGCTGACTAAATATAAGATTCATTTAAAACATATCTTTTATGACATTGAACACACACAGTCATACCCGCATACACACACAAACACATGCACACACACACACACACACACACACACATACATATATATATATAAATATATAGGGAAAAAGAAAGATAGATAGATAGATAGATAGATAGAGAGAGAGAGAGAGAGATACCAAACACGCACTTATCTATTAAGTGGTAAAATATTCTACCATCTAAGACCGTTAGTCCACATAACGCCGAGAGTCACTGTGACTTATAGTTTTATTTTCAAGCTAAAATTGATTTTGAAGGATATATCAAACCGTGGAAGAGATTATCAGCATTTGATGAGGGAACTAATGATCGTGAAATAGGATATTTAAAGGGATACTAGGAAAGGATGACTTTTTATGTCCTTGGGTCTCTTTTCATTCGTTTCTCTAATCTTGTGCATTGTGTCTGTGTTTTTGCCAGTATGTATATATATATTCTTTTCCCCATACATATATATTGTTTTATTACAAGAAACCTATTATGTGTATATATATATATATATATATATATATATATATATATATATATATATATATATATATATATATATATATATCCTCCTTAGGTTTACCCATACGGATTACCTAGTTTTTCATAAACTATATATATATATATATATATATATATATATTTTGAATGGTGTGTAGGCTCCTTATGTGTGTGTGTGCACGCGCGTGCCAGATATAAAGGCTTTACTTGCCTTGAAAATTAGGTTTTGAACTTAGTTGCAAAATCAACCCGTTATTCGGGAACAAGAAACACAGTTACGAGGCAAACCTTAAATCTTACACCCCAGTAAAAAATACACAGCTCCCTAACTTACAAAGTATGCCACTGTTTATTGAGGTTGGTTTATTATGGTACAAGGCCACAGTTTTGAGGCAATTAAGATCAAACAGGCTCTCGTGGGCTAGGCTAGGTGAAGAGTTTGCTAACCCGTCAGTTACAGCTGACACATTTAAACGTAAGATATAATCCCTTTTACGTACGTTTTCTCTCGCATCTGTTTCCGCAGGCAAAGTAAATAGCATATGAAGTTAGTTTACGTCTTATAATCGACTGACTTCAGTTGCTTGTTCAACACGGAGCCGCTTTACTCATGGCAGAATGTGTTCAAAATCTTTCCAGATCTCACTGAACTCAGTCATTGACTACTCTTACAATATATATGTGAATGGGTGATGAAAGTAAATAAACATGTGAAACTGACGAATGTTTTTACCAATCTTTTGCAGACTGATTATTTGGCCCTCGCTGATCAGTTGAGCCAATACGTGGTCAAGCTGCTGGACAAAGTGCGTGGACATGACGAGCTGGAAATTCTTTTGAACAAGACTGGAAGAGCCAGTGACGAGGAGAGTTATGAACTTCTTGATCGTTTAAAACTGGCAATTCAGTACAACGAAAAAAAGGTAAGAATGGCCATTAGTAATAATAAAATCCAATATAACTTTTGTTACTTAAGTTATAAGAACAGTTCGCAAACTTAAAGATTACTACAATGATATCATGGATATAAACTATGTCAGTAGGGCACCTCGAGGCGGTGTAATGGTTAGCAAGCTTGGCTTGCTAGAACAATTTACGACTGAGTAGTGAGTTCGATCCTCACTGGGTGCTCCTTCATTTCGGCCTTGTGCCGCATATAAGCTACGCTGGAAAATCGCTATATACTATGTTAGTATATTAGTTTAAGTAACAGCTAGGTAAGATCTGTCCGGAAGCTATGTATCTGTCCGGAAGCTATGTATCTATTCAATTATTTACGGCAAAAATGCTTATTTCAATAGTACATTACTCATGGTAATAATGAAAATAACTGTTTTCGCACACAAAAAAAAACAAAAACAAAACCTTTCAGCAAACATTGACTGAATAGTCTGTATTACTGTCAGTGAAATATATTTTCTTTATTAAAACAGGTTTTCAGGAAATTAAACTTAATTAAAAGTCCCCGGCTATCGCACTTTCTGTTGATTGGTTGACTGATTTGCTTTTTGTAGGATATATCTATCTTTTTAAGTTTATTTAAAACCGAAACATATTTTTTTGGATTCTAAGAATTTTTTTAAAGATAATAATGGTTTTCTGATACAATTTAACCCATAACTGGGAGGAGAAGATGTGGATCCATACCTTTTCCAAGGGTATTCGCACTTAAATGAATGTAACGGACTCGACTGGAATTCGCACCCGTCTCTCAGATTTCTCATTCGGAGCCGTTATCCATTACGCCATCCACACATCAAAGCTTACAGAATCATCGATGTACTGACCAGGTTCAACGTTGCTTAACTTCGGTGATCAGAGGAGAACCAGTGTATTGACTTGGTATAGCCGTAGGCCCGCCTTTTTAATAGTGATGGGGTTTTCCGTCCACACCTTTTACTTTTGGCATTAATGAAAGTTAACAGTTTGCTTATATCATCATTTTGTTGTTACTGTTAGTATACAAGAGAAGTTATTATTGTTATTCGGAACAGGTCTGTGTTTGTGATTTTGTAGCACCAGGGTGTGATGAAAGATCGTTTTCTTTAACATTTAAAGGATTTAGTCAATTTTCGGAATTTGATCTCGGCTCACTGTTTCGATTATCAGTTACACTACAAGCTCATTCCTCTTCTGGATATACCTGGTACTAAATTCTAAATTACGTTTCATCGAATACAGGACGGATTTCAAATAACAGCATACTAGACAACATTCTTTTCTGTGTCAATATTTGAAACTATGCATTTTTGTCATTTAGTTGCACTGATAAACATCACCATTTTTGTTGACTGATAAACATCCCTTCACCATTTTGTTGACTTTGCTTTCAAATACCATCTAATCAAACTTGTGCGTGCCCTTCACCATTCTAGCATTCAAACTCTGATACACCTCGTTGCTTTCAAAATGTGCTGAAGGAAGGGCATTTAATCACGATCACTTGCGCGTCTGCAACAGGAATTGGCTCGACGCTCTAACAGACAGACATACTCGGATACGAGTATTCAAACAGTGTCTTTGCATCCTGACATCACGTTGTTGGCGTTCAATAATAATAATAATAAAAATAATGAGAGAAACACCTCCATAAAAATTATCGAGACATTGCTCAGATAATAATACCTGGAATCATAATTAACAGGATTGGGAATGAAAATGTCCTAGGAAACAATACAACTGAGACTGAAAAAGATCAAGAATAGACCAAACGATGCAAAGAAATTTTAATAGGTAAACAAAGAATTGAGTGACGGAACACAACGAAGAGGCAGATATTGCCTTAGAACGAATGAAAATTCAAATCACAGAAGAAGATGGCCAAAAAAGCACATTAACTAAATTCCAGGAATAGATAAAATCCCAGGCTATATTATTTAAATACAAGTTGTCATGCAAGAATGGTTACGACCAACTAAAATTTGTATGGATGACCAAAGGAGTTACTTTCTTCTACCCAAAATCCAATATACTAAGAACCAATTACATGTCTATCAAACTTTAAAACAAAAACAATTCTCCTACTAGGACCGAAGGATGTAAACTTTCCTGAAAACTGCTTCCGTGGAAAAAAAAATCTTAGTATTGCCTGGATAGATATAGCATTCGAAACCAAAACATACACAAATAACCTAATAATTTCATCAAACAAATAATGTCTGATAATGATAATAAATAATAAAAATGGAATAACGTTTAATAAGATTTTATTATTATTAAGTCGATTTAACCAGCCAACTTAACAAGACAGAATGATCGTTTGAATGACTTAAAATTGTATGCTAGTTATTGAAGGTCTTCTGCAAACGTAGTGAGTTTTTTCATGACGATTAGATGTATTTCATTTGTAGACCCTGGTAAAATTTTAGAAATAGTTATGTTTTGCAAAAAGCAATTGAATTCTCAGAACAGAATTATGGCTATTAATAACCTTTGCTATCCCAGATGTTTCAACATCTTGAACTGGAAAATACGGTTCTAAAACAAGATTTCTTGAAAAAGATGCATTTTCTTCTTCAAAAGAACTTTTTTCTTCCCCGTAAAAGAAGGTAAGAGGTCATTCTTTTAGGAGCTTTGATGTGATGACAAAGTTTTTATTCTTAAGAAAAGAGAAAAGTCGTCTTTTTATCGAAAACATGGTAAAAAATATTCAAATAATCATTTTTTTTTGTGTCTCAAAACAGAAGCCAAGAACATTTCATATGGAATAAAAAGCCCGCTTGAACAGAAATAAAATCCAGAATACCGATGGGATAAAGTTAATATCATTGGTTAGTCAACGGGTTTATTCTTGCAGCGCAAGACCAGAGTTTTTTCACTTTTTCTGTATTTTAATGTGGATCCAAAATGCAGGTTCTGCAACAAATACCAAGAAACAATCATTAATTCAGGATGTTCTATAGAATGAATAAAAAAATCGTGATTCTCAAGAAATGTGCCGTAAAAAAAATAGAACGCCAGCGCAAAAATAGAAGATGTTAAAATAAATTCAAATAGCGGAATTAAAAAACCATTGTTTTAATTGATATGGTTTGTCCATAATGCAACCAAGTTCTGGAAATAGAAAAAAATGTGAAATTGAAAACAAGAATAATACCAGTGGTAACAAAAAAAATGACAAAACAACACATTGAAAGAATCCCCAGCTTAAGAGACATATTGTCTTATTAAGTACAGCATTTGTTTATTTTAACTGGGCAAAATAAAACTGGGGTAAATAGTGAGTTTTTTTGACGATTAGATGTACTGAAAATTATTTAAAACTAAAACAATATTTATAATAACGAAAATAACTCATCTAAAAAGGCATCCATTTTTTTTCGAAGTATAGTATGTTCTTTTATGTGGCATGTCTCTACAGGATGTGGACGATTATGACTGTTCACAACTTCCTATCCTTTGTAGCTGGTAGCAATATTTGTCTTAACATCTCTACCCTATCCTTCTGTTACATCTATTTAAACAAGTTCGTTTGATATGTTACTTACTTTTTTCCTCCGTTAAACACCACTTTAGTATGTCTTGTGAGTATCAAATACCCTACACCCTCTTTCTCCATTATGTAACTCAGAAATTTCAACAGTTTCTTTCCGATTCAAAAAAAGAAGTCTTCATTTTGTTGCCATTTTCCTTAAAACATATTCGTTGCTCACATGTTCCGTCTATTAAATTATCGACATTCTTTTTTCTGCTGCCTCAAGTCTCTTCTTCATTGTCCAAAATCATAGCAGTTTTTTAAAAGGGCCCACATTCTTCCATTGCCAGTTCTAGTTAACAAATGCGAATCGTAGGTTCGGTTTTATTTATTTACTTAATTCCTTCTCACTACAAATGATCAAGATAGAGAGGAATTATGCTCTTAAATTCTTTAAACGGTACAATATTGTTTATAATAGCAAATCAATCAGCAATATTCTGTTTTGTATTAAATTGATTTTGTTAAACGTATTTAAGCAGTTAAAAGTGTGATGTTTTCGAACTTCAGCATCAATAAACGCATTGATTAATGCATGTAACAAAAACCGAATAAAAATATTTCGTTTTCTCTTTTGCAGTTCGTTGCACATCCAAGCTGCCAACAAAAATTGGTCAGTATTTGGTATTCAAATTTCCGGTCATTAGAAAGGTCAAACTGGTACACCCGAATTCTGATTATCTCCTTTGTCACGACTGTTTACCCAATTCTCGCCATCTGCTACTGGTTTACTCCAAAATCTAAAGTGAGTAGAAAAAGCACATTTTCTATGATTTATTGAAGCATTTTTCTTTTTAAATATTGTTCTTTTTTATTATGACTCTTTCACTGCTGTGAACGCATATATACGTCACTTTGAAACATCCATAATAAATGTGCATCCAAGACAAGGCGCAGAAACTACTGAAGATAAAGGGTTACTAAAAGAAGTTGCCGTTTATACGTAAAAAAGGAAGAGATAAGTCAGTGTATAATATGAGGATAGTTGACGTTTGATTCTAGACATGAAGAGTTTAAGATTTTAGAGTTCGGGGAAGCATCCTCTTGGGTGTCTGTTCTAAAAAGTAGTGGCTCTTCAAAGGAATCTCTGCGAATTCGACTTCCTTCTTACTAATGGAATATGAAAAGAGGATGATTCGACCCTGTGTATGTGGCATGACGAGTTTTAGCTGAAAAGGTTTGAATTAGTGGAACTCGGGATGTTAGCTCGTCGGAACACTATTCATGGAAATAGCGATTCAATGGCATTGTCACGTTGGGGGAAAGGGTTGTGGGGTTAAAAAGTTAATGAATTATTCGAAAGATTTGCTTTTATTCTCATGGTCTTTTCCCAAACAAATTATTCGGTTTGAATAAAATAAAAGACCGTGTTATAGGAAAAAGCAAAAAAACAAAAATAAATTAATAAAAAATAAATATGTTCGTGTGAATAATTAATGGAATTATAAAATGATTGTTCCTTTAGGATTTCATGAAAGCAGTGCATAGAGTTAAAAAAAAAATCTTAATCTTACACTAATTATTGTGTACTTTATTTAATCGCTACTCCAAAAAAAAGAAAAAAATAAGGGAGAAGAGAAAAAATGAAGAGAGAAGAAAAAAAAACATTTTATTATGTTCGCATTTTTCAGAAGTCAGTATTCCACTTAGCTGACCATAATGTTTCTTTTTATCGTGGATCTTAGAATTATACCAATTCCGTTGCTTTTCTCAAATCCAAGAACGATAGCAAGAGAGAATAAGTAAGAAAGTATAAGAAAAAATGGAGAAAGAAAATGTGTGAAACAATGAGAGAGAAGTGGCAAAAGAGAAAGAGTGCATGTGAGCGGCAGAGAAAGAGGAAGTAAGAAAGAAGCAGAGTAGAAAGAGAAAAAGAAAGATTTTTTTTACTGTTATTTCACCTATTACAAAGCGCAGGTTCCACTCAAGAGAGGAGGTTACTGAATAAGATTGTTTTAAGAGGGTGGAAGGAAGTAAAGAGTGAGCGAGAGAACCGGGGAGAGTCGGCGAGAGAGAGAGAGAGAGAGAGAGAGAGCAAAAGCTGAAACGTAAGCCAGATGAAAGAAATCAAATTTAAAGAGGGGAAATGATAAAACCGTAGAAAGCATTTTATTGTCTTCACATTCTTTAGAAGTCAGCATTCCACTTAACTGACCATAATGTTTCTATTTATCGCTGGCGAATCTTGGAAGTATTCCAATTCCTTTGCTTCTCTGAAAAACAATTTTAATCCATAATCAGAAGAACTGATTTTTGTCGAGTTGAAACGATTTCTTTTTTCTCATCTGCACATCAAGAAATTATTTCTCTTCGACTGATAGGTAAATTTATTGTGTATCTGAGTATTTTAAGGGGTGAGTAATTGATGCCTTAAGTGGGGGTGTCAGTGATAATAATTGTAAGTATATATAGATGTACTTTAGTCTATATACAAGCACACATACAACTTTTCGTATATACATCCATACACAGAAATCAGAAGTATACCCCACTTTGTATACAAATGCATAATATCTGTGGGTTTTTTTTTCATTGAATATGACGCAGAATGAAAATATTATAAGTCTTTTATCTGTTTTTTTAGTGTTCTTGCAATTTATATGAAGATAAAAAGAATGCAGAAAGTGTTCGTAATGATTATTTTCCCAAGCACAAAAGATATACATTTTTGACTACGATGGTAAGATTCAACAAATATTCCATCAGCCCTTCTTTATTGATTCTCTTATTGGTTGCTTCTGCCTTTGAGAAATTCACTCTCCAAGACATTAAGTAGCAAAATTATTCGCAAAAGCAAAGGACTTTTAATGTATGATTGACGTTATAGAATTCTTGACTGCCTTGCTCTCTATTCGAAAGGTAATATTCGTCTTTACAGATGGAAAAAAAATGTATTTTTTCTTCATTTTATTCAGGTTATAATTAAGTTGTTTCTGTTCCAAAGGTCAGTGGGATTTTTTTTTATCAAAATTACTTCTTTTTAAGTATTAAACTTGTCATAGTAGCATGCTAAACAGACACGATTTAACTTTTTAAATGTTTATAAACGTTGGTGGTTATATGATGATGATTTAATTGCTATCGGCGTAGAAAAGGAACTTGGGTGCAGTCAGTTTTCTTCTTTTCTAATTGCCGTGTCCCTTCGGGATGTGGATGATCATAACTCGTAGAAAGACATGATCATCCACATCATCTACAACTTCCTATCCACTGATGCTCTAAGCAGCACCGGTCTTTTTACTACACCTCTTTCGCTCTACAAAACTTCATTAGGAATGGTTCTTTGTTTCCTTATATTTGTTAGACTTCCATGTGTCATGTGAGTATCAAACTTCTCGGGCTTTCTTTCCTAATTATGGGATCTAGCTTAATTCATGACCCTGAACATAATAAGCTCATTACCTTTAGTTAGGAATCTTGTCTTGGAGATGGACAGTTCGTATTTCAAAACTAGTCAGAATATTTTACGCTAGAGACACGAACTAATGTCATTATTACATTCCATTTGATGCCGTATCTGGCCTATTACGTTACGGAAATAGTGATCGTGTTATGCATTTTGAAAGAATTCATCTTAAGAACCCGTTTAGTTCCTTCTTTTCTTAATAAGAACGCGTAAATACCTTTGAGAAAGGTATGAATCCATCTCATCCCACCCAGGTATGGTTTAAATAGTAGGACTTGTATCTGTAAAAATCATTGTTATTCTCAAAGAATTATTGATGTAATTTGCTTCTACAATCCAAAAAGTATTGTCCGCTTTACCTGAAGAAAACCAAACAATCAATCACTCTTTTGAATAGAACCAGAAAACCGAGTATTATTTCGTCTTTGTGAAAGGGTTTAAAATGATTCATCGCCCACAAGTCCACGTAAAGGCTTTTGAACTCTCAGAAGGTGATTATTGCTGGAAAAAAATGTAAAAATGTTGTTGGAAAGTGAGGACTGTTAAACCAATAGGAAAATGAAACTCTCATAAATGCTATTTTTCTCTTGACACTGACATATATTTTCTTTGTAAGCAGAAAGTTATTTCAACACAAACAATTTTCCACAACATAAAAACTATCCATTTTATTGCTTAACTTACAATGTATTCAGTTGCACTGTGTCTTTTGAAAAAGTTGGAATTATATAATTAGTAATTGTCTACCTTTCAAGGTGCCAGAAGACGAACCTATAAGACAAAAGAACATTTCCATTTATGGTATTTTCTTTTATCGATTACTCCGGATACTGTTTGAAATATTTTTGTTTATAAAATGCTGGCAACAGGATCGCATGATTCGTCACTGTTGAGGGGTTTGATGCACATATCGTTTGATGTACACAAATTGTGCAAAATCTGCTATATGAAGTCGATTCACAATGTATTTATATAACTTTAATATTCATAATTATTGAAATCATTCCTGATACATACAAAGGCACATTACCTTTATACACACACACACACACACACACACACATATATATATATATATATATATATATATATATATTAGGTTGGTAAAAAATAATGACAATAAGAATGTCGTTTTTAACGTTAAAAAATACGTCAAAAAACGACATTATTACGTCATTATTTTGCACCAACCTAATATATATATATATATATATATATATATATATATATATATATATGTATATATATATATATATGTATGTATGTATTTAGGCAGCAATCCTTCTTTCGTGCACATTTCATTGAATACGACAGACAAGGTGCTTTTATTTAGTTTTTATACAATTTCTCATGCGATCTATTTTTTTTTTCTTTTCGGATGATAAATTATATAAAAACTGACCAAATGTTTTTTTTTTTTTTTTTATCCGAGCGCTTTCGGCTATACATTTAGCTATTTTCAAGGATTAAATATTTTAACTGTTAAATAAGAAATAATCTGGTCCGGGGGCAAGCAGCTAAGTGAAGAATTGTTACCCGGACACGCGCGAAACAAAACCGTCACGTGCCAGCCTACGAAAAATGCGTAGGCGTCATTCATGGAATACTGTTGGGGGTCACTTGCACTTATTTGTCAAACAGCGTTCGATCAAGAACCAGACAGGAAATGAGAGGTTCTCTTCCGAGAACTAGCCCTGATTCAACTGCGGATGAAAAAAAAAAAAAACAAATATATCCCATAATCTGCTTTTTCAAGAAATAAAGAAGTTATTAATATTCCTATGTCTCGTAGCACATACACAATGTACTTAAAATATACTTATAAAATCTGAGGTGAGGGTATAAATATCGGGTTACCGTAATATATCACATTCTTTCACACTCAGTTAGTTTAATGTCTTTATTGTCTCGCTTTTGGTGAAATAATTTAAATGATGTAGATTCTTGTCTACATTGAACATTGAATAATTTTAATACTACATTGTAGTTGTCTGTAACGTAGGATTAATTTGATAAATATGTAATATTATTGTTTCTGATTAGCTAATTTCTGCTACATGCCCATTTCAAATAAACTGCCACTGGTGACCAAACATTGTGCAGTCGTCAGTCGATATGCGAAATGAGCTTTCTCACCTTTTCACCTTATCATAGACCTATACGTGATATATATGAAGTGCTGGCATTACCAAACTGACAGAACAGAATGCGTACAAATAGTAAAATAGTCTTTAGTATAGAGATAAGAAAAGGAAATCGAATTGAAAACGTCAATCTAACTAGTTTTCAAGAGCTATATTCTTTCTTCTTTTTTTTCTTCTTCTTCTTTGCACCGTGTTCATTAAGGACGTGGATCATCATGGCTCTCCACAATTACCTTTCATTTGTAGCTCTGAGTAAAGTTTTTTATTATGATATAATGCTCTCTCTCCTAATCGATCTTCAGCCAACCATTTGCACAGGCTTGTTGGGTATTTTATGTGCTGATTTCCTCTTGCCTTCAATATGTCCTGTGAGTGTTAAATGTTTTAGCCTTCATTTCTCATTATTTCCCGTATAAATCTCAACAGTCTCTTTCTGTTGCTAAATATTAGGTTGGTGCAAAAATAATGTCGTAATAATGTCGTTTTTGACGTATTTTAACGTCAAAAACGACATTATTACGTCATTATTTTTGCACCAACCTAATATAAATTACATGTTCCCGATTTCTCTAAAACTTCCTCCACAGTCCGTCCATGGTATTTTCAGCATCCTTCTGTAAAACCATATTTCTGCTGCCTCAAGTCTCTTCTTCATCTTTGACGAGATTCCCTAGCATTTACTGACATATAGGATGACTGATATTACATAACAGTTCAGCAGTCTTTTTTTGTTGTTGTTTCTACTGAGGTTTTCCTGCTTCATAATATTTAACTGGTGTTTTTTTGTTGTTTTTTAAATTCTTCTCTTTTGCAGCTGCGAAAGATTCTTCGATGCCCGTGCGTCAAGTTCATTGGACACACAATGATGTTTGTTGTTTTCCTCATCATGATCATCATCTCGACGCTGACAGAACATCCTGATCCGCATAAGCTTTTATCTAAAATATTCACACATGTTAACATTCGATACCAGTACTTCCGAAACAACACTTTATCCAATTTCCCAAAAGATTTTGTGGTCAGATCCTTTGAGCCGGAAATTATACACGTCGTTCTCTCAATATGGATTATTGGTAAGTAATGTATATATTTATCTCAAAGAACAAATTTTAAGAACAGTGAGTTAAAAGTGGTGTTAAATTCTGAAAGATATCAGATGACGGATATGCATTTGAATAATGAATACTCTCTCTTCCAAATATTTACGAGTCGCTTCTGTATTTGACAGTAAATTAATGTGTACATGAACATTTTCTTTAAGTCGCTTACGGCCTGGTCACATTGAAAAACCGGTTCCTGTACGATCACCGACGTTAAGCAACGTCGAATCTGGACAGTACGTAGATGGGTGATCGGTTGGGAATACCAGATGTTTTAGCTTAAATTTGCAGTTTGTGTAATGGATAATGGCTATGGATTTTAAATCGGAGAGCCGAGTTTCAATTCCAGTTGGCGTTGATATATTTACATACACGCAAGTATCCTTAGAAAAGGTAAGAATGCACCTTTTCTCCCACAATTTATGGGTTAATTAGTAAGACTTGTATCACTACAATATTCTTATTTCTAAAAATAAAATAAAACTGCCGATATAATATTTAGATTTCGTTGTCAAATAACCTTTTGAGATTGATAAGCAGCTAAACAAAATCAACTCCCCTTTAATCCGTATACATAATATTTTTTTCTATGTGTAGCTTATTATTTTTAGCACTTTTTTGTATGATAAACATTAATTTTGAAAATCTTGCAAGAATAAAAATAACTGTTGAATGTCAAAAACTTTCATTCACAAATGATGAAAATTATTTTAAATATGTTTTCTTTTTTTTAAAGTCATAGCAAAAATATTTTTTATATATATTACCCCCCACCATAACTAATTTTATGAAAACTTTAGAAATTCCATAGCATTCAGTTTAATGATTATATTAGTTAAAAGCACAAGGCTTTGAAGAATAAAAATCATAGGACGCAACTCCTACCTGAAAATCAGCTCTGAATTAACTAGCAGTTGAGCCCGGCATTGCCTGGGGATGTAACAGTAAGAGATAGATCAAGTATCGACCATCATAAAGACTGAAAAATAAAATTGACAAAGATTATTGTTTAAGGTTGACGGACACACATATCTTAATTAGTTCTTTTTTTTTTTTTTTTACGAATTGGTCAAACTACAAACACGAACAAAAACATTGTTTTCAATCGTTATGAGTCTACCGATTGAATAGAATTTTATCATAAACAATTGTCTTGTAAATGGAATTTTTAAAGCATTCTGAATGTAAAAATAAAGAAAAAAGTGCGCAAGACAATAAGAAACACTACCTGCAAAAAAAAAGTGAAGTTTTGTTGAAATCGGTTGAAAAAATGTAGGAAATCCGATCCCATATATAAATGAACACACACACACAACCTGGGTTTTATAAGTATAACTCGATATGAGTTGTCCCCCTTTCATTCTGGCGACAGAATCGTGTTTTCAAATTGATTTCGTGCAAAAACTATTGTGTTTTTCCAATTTTTGGCGCCGTCAGAACCACCGCAAAGTAATTTTACGCAGTCCTGTGAAGTTTTGTTGAAATTGGTTGAAAAATGTAGGAAATCCGATCCAATATATAAACGTACAGACACACACAGAATCTGCGTTTTATAAAAAGTAAGATTAAAGGATATCAAACACTTACAATCCCATAGGTAATAATTTTTATTTCATGAGAGCTTTAAATAACAGCTCTCAATCTTCACAACCTACAAACAAGACTTTAATACTATCGGGCTTGGGTGTGACGATAAACAACATCCGGCAGCAAGTCCTTGATCGGGTGATTCGGATTTTTAAGTAGAGCGAAACCACATTTTAATTGCTGTTGTTCCCAGGTCCACCTTGACCCTGGGGTGGTAGCAGCTGTTAGGCCCTCAGTAATAATAAATCCCCAAAGAAAAACAAAACACTATGGATGTATAAATATACCTATTTATAGTAACATTAACAATACCAATATTACAATAAAATTACTAAAAATATATATTTATACCAAAATGATCAGCAATATATTTTAAACTAAATGACAAACAATACATTTTATTGTAGAATTATCGACAATGCATTTTATAGCAAAATAACCAGCAATACATTTTATCTATAGTTGAAAGCATGCAATTGCGTTCAAAATATTTTTTAGTTCAAGCCATAAAATTGTGTTCAGAATGTTTTGATTTTCGCATTAAATAACCCATAGAGGTTGATATGCTGCTAAACAAAATCAACTGAACAAATTATATTATCTTTATTTAAAAATATGAAAACTCTTGTCGGATTTGTCTTATTAATTTTCATTTATTTCAGTACTGAATTTGAGTTTGTCGGTGAAACTCATCTCTTTTAGTATATATGCCAGGATATTCATCTCGGCTGTTACACCCACAACAATTCGGCGATCTACCCACCAGCTTTATTCATAACAGCCGAAACGTTGTAAGTATAACAGCCAAGATGAGAAATCTGGTGTGAATAGTAAATTATATAATAAAAATCATTTCTCATCACAAAACGTCAAGCAAATATTAACTTTACATCCATTGTTCGTTGGCATATATATGTACTTATCTTTTCTGCCATAGAAAACAAAAGTCTTTTACTTATCAAACAAGACTAGACTTAATAAAATTACTGATGATGAAGTGCCATCTGATCCTAACATTGCCAATTTCTAAGTGCAGCATTCATCGTCAAAGCTAAATTGGTTAGTTACACTTGAACTGACTCTACGTCAATTTTCACTTACTAAACACGAGCATGTTGGCATTAACATTAAAAGAAAATTACTCTCTTTCAACACGAAGATAACAGACACTAGCAGCATGACCCGGCGTTGCCCGTGCTTGATTCAAAAATCGTACGACTCATACAGCAATCGCTATCACTTGACTTTAAATATTTTTGCCCTTTCTTGCCTTTAGAGGAGTGCCCTTTGCCGTGCTGATGTTGCTACATGCCTTACTTCTTGCCTATGTCACACTGCGAATTTTTTCTAAGCTCTATACTAAACATTAAATCTGTTACGAAAAAAGAACTAAACAAAATGAACACAAAACGATCAGCTTTACAAAAGGACTCGTAACTGGAAAAACCGAATGAAAAAAGAATGTTAACAACAAATACTTTTTCACACCCAAACCAGTTCTGCGGAATCAGAATCAACGTTGAGTTTAAGCAAGCGAATGAGCCAATTGGAGTAAAGTGCCATGAAGATTTAAATTTTTCCCACTTGTGACGAATGCAGCTATCGAATTTTTTTGCATGCTAGCATGCTAGTTAACATTCATATCAGTCAGCTGTTGGCTCTCACGCTGGCCAATAGAATCTTCCTGCCTATTTGTGGTAGCCAGCTATAGGCTCTCACTCTGGCCAGTACAAAATGGCCGCAAACTAAATGAAAACTGCCGTAGAAGCATGAAAAAATCGATTATTTCCACTATCGATGGGAGTTGGGAAATGCAAAGTCGGTCTTGGCCTTCCTGCTAACTTGGAGCATGTGTATGTAAATTTTGGTGCAAATCCGTCGAAAATTGCGGCTTTGCATTCGTTACACACACACCCTGCCTTTTATAGATAGAGATATATTTTCTATCATATATCTTATTCTAAAATAAACCATTTTGATGTTTCTTTAACTGGGATTAAACGTTTTGTTTTATGTTCTTTTATAAACATCGCAGTTGTAAAGCAAGGAATTTAGTGATTTGGATTTGAATCACTTTCGCCTGGAGACTATTATTGAATTGTCAGTTATAATCATTTAGACTCTAAGGTACAAAATGAAATTGCTCTTTGCAACAACAAAATGTTCTGAAGCGATGAGTTCATTCTGTGACGGAGTGTAAAGGAAATTCAGTTTAAAATTACCCACATGATTTTTCAACGTTATTTCCAAAGAAATCTCCAGTCACAATCTGTAAATTGCCACCTGACGAAGAAAATTGTAATATCAGAACAGAGATTATTTTCGTGAATTTCAATACGGTGTTCCGGTTTTATATTGTCTCGCTTCTGAAAATTGTCTTGTGGTTTTTATTTCTTTGTTCTTCGAGAAATCTTTACATCCACTTTTTTCCTTTTGCACTCTCCATCAAAAATCATTTCTGCCTCCATTTTTCTTTTTCTCTCTCGTTCTCTCCACCGTTCTTTCTGTCTTTGTGGGCTTTCCTTTCTCCTTTTCTCTCAACTCTCTCTCTTTCTGTACTTTTCTTTCTCTCTTTTTCTTTTCATGTTTCTATCTTTCTCTCCTCCCCATCTCTATTTGTGCGCTTCTCTTTATCAATTTTCTCTCCACTCTCTCTTTTACTGTGCTTCTCTTTCTTCCTTTCTCTCCTACTTTTACTCTCTCTCTCTCACTTTCTTTCCTCCTATCTCTCTTCGTTTTTCTTTCTATTTTTCTCTGTTTCCTGCCTCTCTTTTGGTCTGCCTCTATTTCCCCATTTCTTTGTTTTTATATATCTCTTTTTCTTCTTTTATCTCTCCTATTTCTCTCTTCCTATGCTTTTCTTTCTATTTTTCTCTTATTTTTATATCTCTTTCTCATTTCCCCCCTCTCTCTCTCTTTTCACATGCTTCTCTTTCTCCTTTTCTTTGATTTTCTCTCTTTTTCTATCTCTCGTCCTCTCTCACTTCGTGTCCTCTTTTTTCCCCCTTTCTCTGTTTCTTCTCACTCTTCCTCTCCCTTTTTCTCTCTAATCTCGCTTTCTCAGTTTAGCTGTCCATTTTACCTGTGTGTACATTTCGTGTGAGTGAATTTTCAGATCAAGGACTTGAATAGAATATCATGTCCTGTGCCCGTGTAGGCTTAGCATGTAAACCTATGTCGTCAGACATTACTATTGTGAGATCGTAACATACATACAACATGGACTCTTCCAGGACTGCATAAAGTATGCGACATAACACTCTAGGAGAGAGAAGAAGAGGAGTAAGAGAGAGAGTATTCTAATACCGTAGTATCAGCCGCGTACGACTACCAATATTGGACACTAGCACATAGTAAGCTCCGCTTACACTTACACTATCTTTGTAACCTTTTTGTTTAATATATCTTTCTTGCCTCTAATCCGTGTTCTGTGTTTTCCTTCCGTGGTCCCAACTTTGGGCCCACATCAATTACAAAGAACTTAATACTTAATCCCTAATATATAACATCACTGTTTAACTCGAAATATCGTCAATTACAGTCGGTCACTGGGTGTGTGGCACTAGGGCCCTCTCAGAACGTGGACACTGGTTCTAGCCCGGGTGTAAGAGTTACTTGTATCCAACCCCCCGGGGGGGAGTATTTTTTAGATCTGCCTATCATATGGTTTTTACCACGCGTACATATCCAAGTTGCAACTAGGTCGACCATTTCTTTACCTGTGAGCCACTGATATCCTGTGAGGTGCGGGTCTTGATGGCTAGGAGTATATCTCTCTGCAAAACGCGCCGATGCACCTGACTGCTCTAACATCACATTGACTGCAAAGTCTGCAACGGCATCATAACGTGAGTCACGTACCACGAGCCTTTTCCATATTTTTTAGCCCTCAGCTTATAAAATTCTATACATTGATATAAGTGATTAATAAACCGACATATATACTCCAACTGGTGGTTACTATGCCATGTTTGAGAAATTTTGTTGTCAAAACAAAGAAGGCGTGTGGTTGAAGTAGACTGTATTGCAACAATTTCCCTTATTTTCATATCGTTATTGCGATCATTAAACATGCAGTGTGAATCCGAAACAAAGGATACACTTCCGATGAGATTTGTACTTATTTTTGATTTCATATCCACGTTGCCTACATAATGGTCGTAGAATAGCAATCAAATTACGTTAAAAAAATAAATGGGATGGAAGACTAGTTAATAATAATAATGATTATTATAAACTAGTCTTTTATCTCATTATTATTATTATTATTATTATTATTATTAATAATAATAATAACTTGTTATTAAAGACCACAAACAAAAAAAGTGCCTCCTTATTGATATGGCAGTCCCCGCTGACTGTAATGTATCTTTGAAGATATTCAAAAAGCTGTCAAAATACAAGGACCTTGAAATAGAAATCTCAAAATTGTGGCATATGGGAACATCAACAATCCCTGTTGTAGTTGGAACCCTATGACTGGTTGGAAAATATTGCAGTAGACTAATTGAAGGGATTCCTGGAAGTCCATGCCTCAAGAGATACAAAAAATTGTTCTGACAAGTACAGCCCACACCTCACGAAGGGCTTTATCTATGTAATTTTTTTTTTTTTTTTTTGTCAGTGGAAAATGTCATGATGCCATTTCTAATCTTAGGTCTCTGGGCGGGACCCGGAAAGAAATGTGTAAACGCCAGAAATCAAAGAAAATAATAATAATAATAATAAATTCTATGGGACAATGCACAGGGAACAATCATTTCTAATCGCCCAGACATCGTGATGAAAGGCCAAAAAAATATAGAATGTGCTTTCTTATTGATATGACAGTTACTGCAGACTAATTTATCTTTGAAGATCTTTAAAAAAAACTATGAAAGTACAAGCATCTTGAAGTGGAAATTTCAAAAGTGTGGCGCATGAAAGCATCAATAACTCCAGTCATGGTTGGGGGCCTGCGTTTCATTGGAATATTTTCTTATAGATTTATTAAAAGAATCTCTGACAGACCATGCCTTAAAGAAATACAAAAAAAAATGTTCTCACAAGTACAGCTCACACCTTACGAAAGACTTTATCTATGTAGTGGGTGTCTGATCTTAGTTGGTTTTATTTTTATTTATTTTGCAAAAATGATCAATGGAATATGTCATGAAACTATTTCTGACTTTAGGTCACTGGTGGGGACCCGGAAGAAAATGAGTATACAACAGAAAGAAAAGGAAATAATAATAATAATAATAATAATAATAATAATAATAATAATAATAATATTTCATTCTAAGAATTTTTCAGTTTTTTCCTAGTTTTTACGACATTCCTGTCTGGACAACAGAACTTTAATTCTGTTTTTTTTTTTTTTTTTTATCTGGGTTCGGTAAAAACAAGCAGCTATCTAACCAAATATTTCTTTATTTATATTGGATTATACAAAGATGACAATAGAATCTTTAATCGGGCGACGGTTAACACGTAACTCTATTACTCGATAGCTTATCACTTCGATCATCATTAGGTACCCTAAGAATATAACTTTGTGTTAAAGGTAGTATAGTATAACAAGTCTAATCAAAGCAAGTGTATACCAATATACAATTAACCAATAAATACTTAACTCGTTTTGTTTATTCTGGTATAGAACGATGTTAGTGAATCCACCAGCGAGCTTTGAACTCACGATCTATGGATTTGTGAAAGCTGTACTTCAAGAAATGGTATATTTGTCAACTGCGGAGATGGAATTCCAATTTTTTAATCGTGTGGCGCTCAAGCATCGAAGAGATGTATGTATACAAATGTTTTCAAATGCCGCACAATCTTCATATGAGATATATGGAGTATCTCTGCGATGGCCTGTGTGAAGTGGATCATTTTTAATGAGTGTTTCGATCTGGCTATCATTAACGACTACAGGCCTCTCGGAACGTTCTCTATCTTCCAAATCAAGATTTCCACTTCTGAACGAAGCGAATCACATACAAACAGCACTCTCAGCTATGAGACCATCTCCATAAATGGCACATATCGTTTTGCTGTTTGTTTACATAGTTTTGTCCGTTCTGAAAATAAATTATGTTACAAACCAGCTGTTTATTTTATAGCCAATTGATATTTTCAGTCTAAACTCAGTAGTTATGATTTGATATCACCCTAACCATATGCATGGTTGAAGAAGATCAGTTTGGGGTGGACGAGTAGAAAAGAAGATAGATTAAATCCAAAATTTTTAAAAAAGCAAGGACAAAAAAGCAAGGTTGAAAATACTACCAACCAAAGAGAGAGAGGGGGGGGGAGAAAAATTGAAGAAAAGAAGAAAAAATGAAAAGAGAATACAAAGAAATGCGAGCTTGATAATAACCAAAATAAACAACGAAGACGAAAAGAAAGAAATGGTGAAGGAAAAATGAATAAGAAATTACAACTCAAAGACAAATATAAGTAGGAAGAAAGAACTGAAAGAAATTAGATCAGCTTGAATCAAAGACAAAATGAGGTTCAATGTAGATAGATGGTTAGCGAGTGCTTCACACAGACCAATTCGTTTGTCTCGTAAGTCTGAGAGTAGCCGTTTTCTTATAAGCAAAAATTCGGCAATAATTGGCCAAAGATTTAGCGGTACTGTCAGTTGAAAAGTATAAATTCTTTTTTCTTAAAACAGTTATTTTTTTGGTAAATAGGCTTCTCAAATGCGTTGTTATCTCTTTCTAATGTTTATAGGGGTTTCCTTTCTCACCATTTGTTTAAAGTAGTGGGGAAAGCCGCCATCTTCATAATGTCATTATTTACACTTCTAGTTATATTTGCTATTTATTTTAGATGTTGCTATTGGTGAAAGTCTTCAGGTGTGGTGGTTTATGCTATTTGGTAATGTTCTTTTTGATTCAGAACCGCCAGTTTACGAGATCCGAACAAGGGCACAGGTTTCATTCGCTTGATGTCATTTTTAATCATTGATTTGAGAATTTGAGAAAATTCGTATTGTTTAGAAATTGCTTTGCTTCCGGTTTTAGTATCCACTAAGAATAACGTTTGCAATAGAAAAAATGACGGATTAAAAATAAATTCAATAATTCTTAAGAAATTGCTTAGTTTAAGTTTCAGATAAGAAATCTGAACTAGGAAAGGTGCTTTCCTAAAAAAGAAAAATAGAAGATTACTGGCCAGTGACTCTCTCTCTCTCTCTCTCTCTCTCTCACTCTGTAGCCAAAAGATCTTAGGGCTTCGGTGGTTTGTTCTACAAAGGGGGAGAGGGATTAGAATCTCCTTTATTAAGATTTCTTAAGTGTGCAAGCTGATAGATGTAATATATATTATTTATTTAAAAATAAAAACGAGGCGTCTATTTCAAACACGGGTATCCGCTAAAAATAACGTTTGAAGTATTAACAATATCGGATTAAAAATAAATCGAATAATTTTTTAGAAATTGCTTTATTTATGCTTCGGATTCGAAAGTGAGCAGATGTGGGCTTTCAAGAAACATTTGATCGCGGAAACGTGCGTTCCTTAAAAATGGAAAATAAAACATTGCTAGGAAGTGACGTTCTCAGTAGCCAAGCCGTATTTGAAAATAAAAAGTCAAACTCTATGTTAAATAATATTATCCCTATCGCGGCCAGTTTCATTTTCCTTATTTCCTGTACTAAGTTTGTATAACTAAAGGATTCGAAGTATTTGGTATTTATAAATTTCACTAATTGCGCACTACACCACTGGAGCCAATATCAGCTAGATGTATTAGATGCCTAATACCTCTTGCTGGATATTCCTTTTATATATCCCTGTTATGTACTGCGGTCGTAGCAGCAATTTGTGTGTCTAGGGCTAGATAGTCTGAGGGAGCCCATCCAGCTTCGGGCTGGTTTTGAATCCAGAGTTTTCCTAATAAAGTGATTACCAACCAAGGCTAGAGTGTCTGCCTTGCTATTAACCGCAAGTTGGGGGAGAAGATATGGAGTCACTCATTTTCAACGGTATTTTTGCGAGCACCGACAATTGCTACGCATACAGCCATCATTTTACGTTGCACAAAACTAAGCTTAGCATATAAATACCTATAGCCAAGATAACAGACTAAGTGAGACTCTCAACGGTTGCTTCAAATTTGAGACATTGTGCCAGACTAAGGTAAGATCAGAAGATGTCGTTTATAATCGTAGCCAATATGACTATTTAAGATAAAGCTTTGCTGTTTATCCAAACTTAAGATTTGATAGCCTTAAATAGCAGTTAGAGAACTGACAGTAAAGATTTCTACTACTCCTCACTGTCATTTTTGCGTTTTATTAAACTTAACTAATTGAATATAATATATAACGGTTGTTAATATTGATGACTTCGGTTGGATCTTCTTTGGTTGCGTCGCACTTACAGCGTTGTGGCAAAGTACATTGAGCTGGTTATATATTAATCAAAGAAAGAAAACTGATCGATTAACGGAAAATGTAATCAAGAAAACATTAAATTGAAACTGGTGTTGTGTATACAAAAAGGCGAAAAGCGTAAAAGAAGAAATAAGCTGGGTAAACATTCTGAGGAGAGACTAATTATTTGTAAACAGATAAAACACGCGCCAGGTTTTCAAATAAATTCTCGCGTGATCCAGCCATTCGTTGACGGAAAACAAACGAGAAGTATGCAAGTAATGCCGGCTTTTAAACGAGTAACTAAATCAGACAGAAAATAAAAAGAATAAAGAAGTGGCGAAAGTAAAAGATCAAATGCTCATGAAAATGAGTCATATGAAAAATAATATAGTGGAATAATGTAAAAGAAAGTGTAAGGAAATTATGAAAAATGTCAGGGAATATTCAGACAGAATAGTAGAGAAGAAATGCCTTATAAATAAAGAAGTTGGCGGCGTTGAGTTTGAAGAAGTGTGAGAACTCAATGAAACAGCATCGTCAATTTCTCAATAAATCTGCTAAGAATAACTTCTGCCGCTCAGCTCAGTGTGCTTTAGTTTTAGCAGATACCAGTTCATTAAATCAGTTCATGTATATAATATTATTTATTGAGCCTCACTTTAAACACAGACGTGTTTAGACATAGTTGATATTTCTCTTCCTTGTTTTTGAAATAGTGAAGTCCACTAGAGCTCCCCACGAAACATCATTATAAACCCTCCTTTATCTGCAAGAGATATATTCCCTGATCCACAGTGGATAGCTGAAATTGCGGATAATAGAGAATCCTATATATCAATATATACATACTTATGATGAAATTTAATTTATAAACCTAAGCACATTACGAGATTAGCAACAATAATTCATTCGAAGATCAATTATGACAATATACTGTAAAAATCAAACGAACGGGAGAATATTCGTTTATACCGTTAAGCTTAGGACTTGTATCGTACAAGTGTGTTCCTTCATAATAAAGTCAAGAAAACTCACCCTGTTTATAGATTCTGCTTTTAGTTTTCTTTTGATAGATATGAATTGCAAACATCACTGCTCTTGCCTTTTGGGCTTACGAGAAGGTAAAATTCATGGATTGTTTATTTCTTGAAGGTGACCGCGGGTAACAGAAAAAGGATAAGGGAAAAGCTCGCTCTATAATTAGTTCTTTGAGACAAAGACATTCAGTGCATAGTGTTTAAGGATTGCCCGTAGAAAAATGATAACGTTATCTTATTGGCTGAATATGAGGTGAATATTAGACATTGTGGGAAAGTGCAGTTGAAGCTAGACATATTGCTAAGGCAAATATCTAGGAGATGCAAGCACGGTTCCAGAATATTTTGTGGGGATTAAAATGGAGATTTTACTCGTTTCGACAAAGACCGTGTGGAAGACATCAAAATGGTGAATTGATGAAAACTTTGAGGAATATACAGCGCAAACAACATGTGAAGAAAGATAGGTTGATCAGTCAACTCTTTAGAATTTTGCATTGGCACAGAAAATTGGAAAGGAAGTCCCAAGTAGTAGACTGAACGGAGTGGGGAGAAAACGTTATTCTGCATACAGCATAATCTGTAAATCTATCACCTTCAGAAATCTAAATAATTCTTTTATAATAGAATAAAGAATTTAAGTTTTTGATAAAACACGGTGAAAGAATAATAGTTTAATGATTGAATAATAAAGTTATAAATTTATATTAATGATGCAGGCCCGGTAGGGTGCAGTGCTGGTTTATTACAAAGTGGCCTTGTGCTAGACACCACACTAAACTACCGAGTCTACAAGCAAAGTAAAAAAAAAAATAAAAATGCGTGAATGAACAACGAAGTGATGTGGTTAGTCCACACGTGCATAAAATAAAATATATTAAGATAGCCAGCACAGAATGACAGAAAAAGACTGGATTCCAACAAGAGTAATTTTTATTAAATGCAGGACAAACAAGTAACTTATCCCGTAGTAGGGATCAATGAAAATGTTCCGCGCCAAAATAGAAAATAAGATGGCTAAGGCGGGAAAAGTTCTTGAAGAAGAAGAATATTCCAGATAAGTCAATGTACATGATAATATACATACAAGGAAAAATACTCACTGCGAGTTTTTTTTTTTTTTTTTTGTTAATGTGAGTGAAATGTTATGTATATATTTTTCTTTCCTTTTTTTGGTACTGGTTCAAAACAGATTTATGACGAGGCCAAAAGGGACGAAAAGTTAATACTTGGAGTCGCATCGTCTCGTAGAAGGATCTTGAACAACGAGCCAAAAGGGACGAGGAATTAATTATTTGGTGTTCGCATCGTCTCGTAGAAGGATTTTGAATGACGAGCCATCTAAAGGATTTTGAATGACGAGCCAAAAAGGACGAGGAATTAATTATTTGGTGTTCGCATCGTCTCGTAGAAGGATTTTGAATGACGAGCCAAAAGGGACGAAGAATTAATATTTGTGGTCGCATCGTAAGATATCCCTCGTCTGTCAACCTTGCATATTGACATGGCTAAAAATGAGTCTGCTTAGGTCCGAGTCTGGATCACAACTAACTTTTTTGAAACAACAGTTTGTCGGTGACGTCACAAATTTCGCGGGAAGATTTCAAAAATCTAATTTGCATAAGAAGGAGTAGCAGGTCGCTTGACTGACGACAAAACCAGTTACTACTGTATTAGACCGAAAGAGGCAGAAAGGGGTGTCAAACGCGCGCGCACGCGAGTGTGGAAGAAAGGGAGGAAACTCGCGCGCGCGTAAAATGTTGTAGATGGAATAATACATTATTCCACACAGCCCCCTGCCTGGATTAAATGTCGCAGACATTTAACTAATAATAATAGAATGTTTCAAATTTCTTTGGAAAGGTGACTTTTCGACCAGAGCTGGTATACTTAGGTTTGTCGAGAGAAACAGGTGTCTTGAAATTCTCCTGAACTTGCGGAGTTGATTGGGAAGCAGTATGAGACGACGGTTTCTCTATAAAAGCAGGCTTCAACCGATCTATTGAAACGTTGTCGGTGTGAATACCTTTTTGTATTTGGAAATATTTGTCCGCGCGTTTAAGAACGCGGAATGGGCCTGTGTAGGCCGGCGTAAGAGGCCGCTTAACAGAGTCGTTACGTACAAATACAAACTCGCAGTCCTTGAGCTGGTGCGGTAAATATATATCACTCGGGCAGTGCCGCGGTGGTGTATAGCATAAGTTTGCCATTTTAAGGCGTAAGTCTTGAATAAAAGAGGAAGAAACTGGGGGTGTGGTCACAGCTGGTGAAAAATATTGGCCGGGTAAAGATAACGAAGTACCAAATACAAGCTCTGCAGGGGAGCATTTCAAATCATCCTTAAGAATATTTCTTAACGATAGAAGGATGAGGGGTAATTCATCGACCCAATTATTATTCTCATGCTTCGTTGATAGCGAAGCCTTAAGGGTGCGATGGAATCGTTCCACCAGACCATTAGCACAGGGGTGATACGCTGTAGTACGTATATGCTTTGCACCAAGGAGTTCAGTGAATTCCCTGAAAAGACACGACTGGAACTGTGCTCCTCTATCTGTAGTAACCACTTTAGGAGTCCCAAAAATCGAAATCCAATCGCGTAAAATAGCTTTTGCGACAGTCACAGCAGTGGTATCTTTGACAGGGATGGCAGTAGGCCATCGGGAAAAACGATCCACTATAGTTAGAAGGTAGGAATAACCATGGCAGGTTGGTAGGGGCCCAACTAAGTCCAGGTGTATATTAGTAAAACGAGCATCAGGCTCACTGAAAGTGCCCACGGGAGATTTTGTGTGTCTATGCACCTTACACTTCTGACATTGTAAACATGTATTGACCCATTCGCGAATGTGAACGTTCATATTCGGCCAAACGAAACGGTCCGAAATTAACTTAACTGTGGCTCTTTTGCTAGGGTGTGAGAGTCCGTGTAGGTGGTCAAAAACCTGTCTACGAAGAGACGGAGGAACATAAGGTCTTGGGGATTTGGATTTAACATCACAGTATAGGACCTTGTTACTAAAAGGAGCTGGACATTTCTGAAGTTCCAAAGAAGTGTCGGATAACACATGCTTCAGAGTTATGTCCGCTTTCTGTTCGTCGGCGATCAAGTCTTGACTGAGTGCATCTGTATGCACGACGAACATCTCAGTACGAGGTAGGGTATCGGCAACAGTGTTATCCGAACCCTTAATGTACCTAATATCAGTAGTAAATTGAGATATATAGTCCAGTTATCTGATTTCCCTCGCAGTGTATTTGTCCGAATTGGTGGACATAATGGACGTTAAAGGTTTGTGGTCCGTAAAGATAACGAAGGACCTACCTTCGAGGAGGTGTCTGAAATGCTTAACAGCACGAAAAATAGCCAACAGTTCACGAGAAAAGGTACTGTAGCGTGACTGGGCAGGAGAAAGTTAAGCGGAAAAGAACGCTATGGGTTTACGTTGAGAAGGACTGACTTGTTCAATGACCGCGCCTATTGCTGTTTCGCTAGCGTCAGTGGTCAGGTAGATATCCTACTGAGGGTCGTCCTCTAAGAAACTGAGCTTAGAAAAATTGCCTAGAGCGGTTTTAGCTGCTCGAAAGGCGTCCAAGGCTTCATTCTCAAGTATGATAGTTTTATTCTTCTTCTGTAATAAGTTGGTAAGGGGAGTCAGAATGTTAGAACAGTTTGGAATGAATCTCCGATAGAAGTTGATCATCCCTAAAGCGTCTCAACTGTTTGATGGAAATAGGGACGGGAAACTCAGTGATAGCTTTAATCTTTTCAGTTATAGGGGCAATTCCATTTGCATCGACATGATGTCCTAAAAATTCTATATGGTCTGATCCGAAAACACATTTGTCCAGGTTTAGGCGGAATCCGTAATGAGACAAACGTTGAAGAACTTCGTGTAGGTGTTGCTTATGCGAGGCAGCGTCCTCACTAGCTATCAGAATGTCGTCAATGTAATCGAAAACGAAGGGGAGTCCACGCAGAACTTCGTCCATAAGACGTTGAAAGGTCTGTGCTGCGTTGCAAAGGCCGAAAGGCATTTTTAAAAATTCAAATAAACCAAAAGGTGTAGTAACAGCAGTTTTTGGGACATCAGCAGCAGCTACTGGCACCTGATAATATGCTTTTGCGAGATCTATTTTAGTAAAAATCTTTGCGCCTTGTAAACCAGAAGCGAAATCGTGGAGATGGGGAATTGGATAACGATCCCGGACGGTAATGGAATTCAACCTTCTATAATCCACACAAATTCTATAGTCTTCCTTTCCTGGTTTAGGTACCAAATGAAGAGGGGAAGCGTAGGGACTGTCGGACGGACGAATAACACCCTCTCGTAGCATGTCGTCGAAAGCTTTCTTTGCGAATTTTAATTTGTTAGGTGCTAGACGACGAGGACGGGAAAAAACAGGTTGACCAGTGGTCTTAATAAAGTGTTGTGTTTGATGTTTAGTTGAATCAATAGATCCAGCAGGACGCAGGAGGTCCTGGTACTGATTCAATAAATCTAAGTACTCTTTATTGTGGCAAGTTGCCACGGTGATGCCAGTGGTGGTAAGTTTAGAGTAAGTGCCAAGAACACACAGTCTTGTTAAGTTGTCTGTTAGGGAATGATTGTTCATTCGAACGGCTAGATCATAGTGCGCCAGGAAATCGGCACCCAATATCGGCATCTGGACGTCAGCAACAGTAAAATTCCAGGTAAAGTCTCGTCGCATTCCTATGTTTAGGGTAAGGGACTTCGTACCGTAAGTATTAATACTGGAACCATTTGCTGCTTGTAAGCGGAGCTGAAAAGGTTGTTGACGTGCTTTATCACGCACGGGTAAGACACTAATGGCAGCGCCGGTGTCAACCAAAAAACGTAAATTATTACGTGTATCCGTCACGTAGAAAAGGCGACTAAGCTTCGGTGAAAATGCCTTGCCAGCGAGATTAGTCGCTTTCACTCGCTGGCGGTTTTGTTTTCCGCGACCGCAGTATAGGTACACACGGCTTGGTGCAGTAATGTGCTGCAGACCCAAATCGGCGGTGGTAATAACACATAGAAGTGCATCCTTGTTTCGACTGGACGAGCGAGGTCGACCCGCCGGCGGAAGGGAACCGGCTTCGACCATGGCTTTTTAGAGCTAATGTTAAATCTCTAACTTGGCGCTGCAAATCCTCCACTGTTTTTCCCAAGGACCTGTGGTCACTAATCGCTTCAGCACTGTGTACTGGCGTTGTTTGATGATCCAGTTGCGAGAAAATACGATCAGCGGCGTCCGCTAACTGGTCGATCGGGGTGTTCTCGGACATAGGCGCCAAAATTTGGGTAATGGTGGTGGGGAGACGGTCCAGCCACAAGCTTTTCAATATAGAGTCAGCCATGGTATTTTTGCCGAGTCGGCTTTTCATATAACGAAGAAGTTGTGAGGGAGTCCTGCCATCGCAAGTTAGGTTGCTAAATAGTTCCCGGATTAATGATTCCTCCGTACGGCCCATTCTCCTTAAGATCCAATCGGGCGTAGGGTTCTACTTCAGGAACGGCTTCTAGGAAGTCTGATACCGCGTCGACAATGGCGGGTGGCAAAACCGCCACCACGTGGCCAAACTTTGTTTTTGGTCTGTAATCCTTCTGACTGTAAAAATAGCTTCCATTTGCAGGAACCAGTTCTTTATATTCCCTTCATGAAAGGGGGGAAAAGGAGTGACGGCGGCGGTCATGTTCTCCAACTTTCAGAGTCATTAGACGTCATTCTGGCTATCGAATTTATGCACGTTTATATTTCAGCTTGCTCAGAATTATGTTGGCAAGGTTGCAAAATTATTGCGTGTTCAATTCACGTCTCGGGTCACCAAACTTGTTGCAGGCCCGGTAGGGTGCAGTGCTGGTTTATTACTAAGTGGCCTTGTGCCAGACACCACACTAAACTACCGAGTCTACAAGCAAAGTAAAAAAAAGATAAAAATATGCGTGAATGAACAACGAAGAAATGTGGTTAATCCACATGTGCATAAAATAAAATATATTAAGATAGCCGGCACAGAATGACAGAAAAAGACTGGATTCCAACAAGAGTAATTTTTATTAAATGCAGGAAAAACAAGTAACTTATCCCGTAGTAGGGATCAATGAAAATGTTCCGCGCCAAAATAGAAAACAAGATGGCTAAGGCGGGAAAAGTTCTTGAAGGAGAAGAATATTCCAGATAAGTCAATGTACATGATAATATACATACAAGGAAAAATACTCACTGCGAGTTTTTTTTGTTAATGTGAGTGAAATGTTATGTATATATTTTTCTTTCCTTTTTTTTGGTACTGGTTCAAAACAGATTTATGACGAGGCCAAAAGGGACGAAAAGTTAATACTTGGAGTCGCATCGTCTCGAAGAAGGATCTTGAACAACGAGCCAAAAGGGACGAAGAATTAATTATTTGGTGTTTGCATCATCTCGTAGAAGGATTTTGAATGACGAGCCAAAAAGGACGAGGAATTAATTATTTGTTGTTCGCATCGTCTCGTAGAAGGATTTTGAATGACGAGCCAAAAAGGACGAGGAATTAATTATTTGGTGTTCGCATCGTCTCGTAGAAGGATTTTGAAATGACGAGCCAAAAGGAACGAAGAATTAATTATTTGGTTTCGCATCGTCTCGTAGAAGGATTTTTTGACGAGCAAAAAGGGACGAAGAATTAATATTTGTGGTCGCATCAAGAATATCCTTCGTCAGTCAACCTAAAATATTGACATGGATAAAAATGAGTCTGCTCAGGTCCGAGTCTGGATCACAACTAACTTTTTGAAACAACAGTTTGTCGTTGACGTCACAAATTTCGCGGGAAGATTTCAAAAATCTAATTTGCATAAACAAGGACTAGCAGGTCGCTTGACTGACGACAAAACCAGTTACTACTGTATTAGACCGAAAGAGGCAGAAAGGGGTGTCAAACGCGCGCGCGTGCGCGCGAGTGTGGAAGAAAGGGAGGAAACTCGCGCGCGTAAATGTTGTAGATGGAATAATACATTATTCCACATCGCAAATAATTTAAAAAATATTAACATAAGACAAATTTAAATATTTGATCTATTCTACACGTTATTTTTTCACTTCATTTGAAATTTTAAATTAATTCCTATCAATTATGTTCGATGTTAAGTTCTTGGATGAGATTAATACCTCAGTTCAATGCGAAGGATTTTGCTTGGAATTTTGTTAAAAATGTAACTTATTTAGAAGATATGAAACCGTTCTCTTTTCTTTTTTTATTTTCTTTCTCGAATCTTCTGGCATTTCTACAGTGAAATGCTGTCACGTAAAGTGGAATACTTAGGGCCTTTTTTTCACCAATCTCTGTAGGCACACAGAACAAACAAATTCTTTCTTTAATTTCTAATCGCTTCATTGTGTACAAGATCGACATTTTTTGTTAAATAAACATGCAGGATGAAAATGAAAACATCTGAAGAAAGTAAAGATTTACTTGAAAACTACATTATGTCCCATAAACCATCTTCCTTCCGTTGTTTCTACAATTTGTTTTTATCCTTTTTAAAGCATTTTCCATCTTTCCTAAAGGGATTTTCTTGAATTATCAAATTCGAAAAGAAGGAAAAAATGAATACAAGCAGGAAACAAGATGGGAAGAATCTTAGAGAGCTGTGATCATATACATACATACATACATACATACATACAAATATAGATAACTATACTCGTTTCGAAAAACCCTCGAATTTTTGATTTGCCAATAATCAAATCAATCTCGAAGGAAAAAAGGGTTTTAAAAAAAGGAAGAGCTACAAACATGAAAGTCTGTCGAAAAAAATCGTACAGATGCAGGTTTGAAGCCCAAAGAAAAAACCCCGATACGAGTAAACAACTAACTAACAAAAGCGCTCAATACAACCGTAGAGCAGACCTTGATAAACCTAGTGAGCCAGACAAACCTACCTAGGTTTCACCTAAACGGATCGTCAGGGAAATTCGGCCTTGTTTGGCTCACTAGGTGTATCTATCTATCTATCTATCTCTATCTATATATATATATATATATATATATATATATATATATACAGACGAAGGATACTCCAAAACTAAAGCATCTTATTCATTACAATGAAAACGACCACAGATACGGGGCACATAATAATACGGACTGTTGGTGGAGGTTTTCAGCCAATAAACGCTATTTCCTTACATAGTCAACCCTACTGGCGAGGAATTTTTGCCAGCAATGTGCAAGAACCTACAACATACGCTCGTAAACATAGCTTGCCACATTTATCATCGTCACCACTGCAAAGACGCAAGCGCATACATCCCCTTTTTGATCTCCATCAATGCAGCAGGGTTTGATGGATGCTAATCGATGCAATTTAATCCACATGGAGGTATTTAGTAACTAACCTCAATTTCGTACGCACTTTCTTTTCAAACGCCATTTTGTCAGACTGCCGCGAACGAAATTCTTATCTGTAACAAAGTAAAAAAAAAAAAGAAGGGTTATTATTGGGATGGTTCAACCATTAATCCCATACTAAAAATATTCGCCTTTCATATTGTTGGCCAAGGAAAGAAAATAAGAACATTAATTCTTTCAGTCTTTCATTTACATCGGACTTCATAGAAAATTTATTTATTTTTTCTACAATTCGGAGCATTATTCTTATTTACGGGGAGAAATGAAGCATAAAATACCCGATGCCCTCAGCAAAATCAAAGAATTATGATTTTGTTGATAATTTTCGTTATTCTTTTACCAAACCTGCATGCACAAACACACACACAAACACACACATGACAAACGTAAATTATCAAAGTAAACATACAATATTTCATTCGTATATATATATATATATATATATATATATATATATATATATATATATATATATATATATATATATATATATGTGTGTGTGTGTGTGCGTATATATATATATATATATATATACATAGATGAAAATAATCACGCGCCACAAGAATTGCCATTTTCGTATTTTCAACGGGCTAATCAACTCAAGGAGGTTTTTTTTCCAAAAAAAACTCCTTCAGTTAATAAGCCCGTTGGAAGGGTAATCTGACCATTCTTGTGGGGGGGAGTAATTTTCATCTATCTGTAATTCATATATGCTCTGTAATAAATACATTGAGCTCTTTTCTGTGAATCAATTTTAATATTTTATATAAATAGAATTCACTTGGATTACGGATTTTACCTGTATATATATATATATATATATATATATATATATATATATATATATATATATGATAAAGTGTACTTAACGTGAAATATTCAGCTGCCATAGCAACTTGCATAGTTTCATATACATATAATATTTATCTATTCTTTATTAAACGTAATTCATTCCATGATATATATATATATATATATATATATATATATATATATATATATATATGTGTATGTGTGTGTACAGACACTCATCGATATCATTCAACATGTGAGCAATTAAGCATATAATTTCGTTTTCTGTTAGTTGTTCTATATATTGCATATATGCTGTAAGTATCATTTGAGCAAAGTTATTTAATGTATGCCGCAGCCTGTAATGGAGGGGTGGGGCTACTATCTGGGTGCTAACTTCCAATGACACGAAATCCACACCTTCTAGATTTTTATTAAATTTGTGGGAGAAATAATAAAAACTTTGTGAGAGAAATAATCAATTCGCTCATGAACGAATATAGATATAATCAGGCATACTTATACACTTATAAAATATATATCAAATAAAAGGAAACAAATCCTTCAAAATCTCAATCGTATATTTAATTTCATATATATATATACATATATATATATATATATATATATATATATATATATAGATAGATAGATAGATAGATAAATAGATAGACATATGTATATATATATTGTCTGGATGAATGAATTTCTCTGTATCCTTTGAAACGTGAATTATGAATTTTGCAGTGCCTTTAAAACCTAGTAATTTTAAAAATAAGTTACTCCAAAATTCACTTGAGGATGAAATGCAACTAATGTCTTTAATTTAATTACAAAATTAAATTCGAAGCTTTTAGCTTCCATTTTTGAAACATGGTTAGAACTGTGTAGCTAAAAAAACATTTTAAATCAATTAATTTATAATATTAATGCTCTTTAAATTTACATTGAACACTATTTTGTAAAAATAAAAATATCTATAAAATATATATCTTACTGTTCTTTCTTTTTATTTATACACACACACACACACATATTTTTAGATAGATAGATAGATAGATAGATAGATAGATAGATAGATAGATAGATAGATAGATAGATGAGTTGGGTTAACTAAAAACAAATAAACCACAAGAAAGAAAGAAAGAAAGAAAGAAAGAAAGAAAGAACTGGGTAATCTAAATACAAAATACCAGAAGATAGATAGATAGATAGATAGATAGATAGATAGATAGATAACTAAAAGCACATGTCCCATGTCAACTCCTGCACCGGTGCCAAGCCGTATGGGCCTCTAACTTTCCCTTGGATAGAACTGGTGGCTTGGAGGTGGACACGTGCTGCAATCTGCATGTGCAAGTACCGATCTCTCATAAAAAAAGAAAACCTGGCCAGGAGAGGGCATAACACTTCAGGTGTAGAGCCATGATCTCTGGAAACCGACGGATTCCATAAAGGGTACTTAGGTTTGGTTTGCACAAAAGATAGACATAGATCTGGTTTGAATGGATAAGATTTATTGAATCATCTCTAGTAGGTGCCAAATATACGTCGACAGTGGTGGTGAACACTTAGAGACTATACGAAATCACAAGATAAGTTCTACTTTTTAATCAAGTTAATCCCATAGAAATTAACATTTTCGAAGTTACACTTTATATACAGATGTAGTTTCTTAGAGGTTTCGATCTATTATGTTCATAATTATATATATTTCTAAAGCCCCAAATTATTCGCCCCCTCAATCATGGAAATTATGAAATAATATTGCCCTATAACAATTGTAATGTATTTCTTTTAATTTGACATTTCATACAAAAATCCTTTGAAAATGAAATAGTATTGACCTGATTCTATAACCTTCTCAGATGTAATGAAAATAACAATATGTCGGTGTCACGTACCGCAATAAATCATTCGTTCTTCAACCATGGCTAAGACGGCTGAATTTGATAAGAAACTCTGAATAAAGAATTTCTTTTTTTCCTTCCATTTTATTTAAATTCACTTAGGTTCTCTTTTTTTTTTCATTTCTGGTTTTTCTTTCTTTGAGGTTACTTCTTTTCCTTTTTATACTCTAACGTTTTTTTCGCCTTTCTTATCGACCATTTTCCCTTCGTTTCTTTTTTCTTAATTTCTTCATCTTTCTTTTCTTTCTTTCATTTTTTTCACCCTTTATTTCCATTGGTTTCCCTGAAGTATTCTTATCTATTCTTTTCTTTCAATCATCCCTTCTCACTATCATCTTTTCTTTTTCTCTTTTTTCAGTTTTCATTATTTTCTTTCTTTCACACTGCATTAGACATAATCATAAACTTATGATAAAACGAATCTATCAACATAAAATCCTTACGATCAAACGTATCTATCAAAATAAAAGCCTTACGATTAAACGTATTTATCAAAATAAAAGCCTTACGATTAAACGTATCTATCAAAATAAAAGCCTTACGATTAAACGTATTTATCAAAATAAAAGCAAGTCGTTGAATATACAATATTTTCCAAGCGTTTGAATTTCCTAGATCGACAATTTGTAGCATTATCAAGAAGTACAACGAGACTCATTGTGTTGAGAAAAACTGAAAGAAGTCGCAGATAATTTCTGAGAGAATGGAAAGGAAAATTGTTAAGGATGTTTCGAAGAATCGTCACTTAATGACAAAGGACATTCTCATTTATGTAAAGACATCAGTTTTGAACGAAGACAGTCGCTAGATACTTTCATCGAGCCAAACTTTGAGCTTGTCGCCCAAGAAAAACACCATTGCTTCAAGGTAAACACATAAAATGCGTATTAGCTTATGTTAGAAGCCATCTAGAACAAGGGAGTAAATGTTGGAATGCTGCTTTATGGTCAGATGAAAATAAATTAGAATTATTTGGTCACATGAACACCCGTTATGTATGAAGGAAAGCTCACAAGGACTGAATGAATGAAGCTCAAAAAACAAAAAAAAAAAAATTACCTCCCTAAAATTAAGCACGGTGGTGGACGCATTCTGCTCTGGGGATGTTTTGCTGCTTTTGGACCAAAAGAACTAATGAGTTCATGGTATAATGAATAAAGAGCAGTATTTGGCTGATCTTAAAAATAATATAAAACAAAGCTTGGGGCAATCGAATGTCTAGCCACACTAATGAGGTGTGATACAGCGAAACAGTCTGTCTGCGGATGACATATATATATATATATATATATATATATATATATATATATAATTAAGAAATATAGTCTTAAGGTGTGCTATATTTATGGGATAAAGTGCTCAATATCAGAGATAGAGCGTGTGTAAATATAAAAGTGAACATAGAAGTCAACACTTAGAGGCGACAGTCTGTTTCATGCTATATGCAATTGTCAGGCCACTTGATATATATATATATATATATATATATATATATATATATATATATATATATTTGTTGTTAGACCGTAACATACCTACAAAATGGACTCTTCCAGGACTATACAAAGTATGCGATATAATACTCTAAGAGAAGAGGAGGAAAGAGAGAGAGAGTATTCTAATACCGTAGTATCAGCCGCGTACGACTACCAATATTGGACGCGAGCACATAGTAAGCTCCGCTTATATTTACACTATCTTTGTAACCTTTTTGTTTAATATATCTTTCTTACCTCTAATCCGTGTTCCGTGTTTTCCTTGCGTGGTCCCAACTTTGGGCCCACATCAATATTACATTTACTTACTTATAATCAAATCTCATGTGCCGGTGTCGGGCTGTCGGTTTCTTTGAAACTGATCTGCTTGACCCTCATACTTCGAATCTCGACGGGAGAGTCGACTATATATATATATATATATATATATATATATATATATATATATATATATATATATATATATATATATATATGCGTATGTATGTATTTATTTGCTAGTCCTTAATATTATAACAGAAAATGGTACTGGCTAACTTGCAGATCATATATCTAGTGTATTTTTTATGTTTTATTTATCTTGTTCGCGGTTGCATGAAAAATGGATTCTCTTCTGTGGTTAGCATTAAAATATCTAACAATAAAAATAAAATTCGCCAACCAATTTTGTTTTATTTTGAATTTTGAATTCAAGTAAGGATTTATTTCTCTGTACTTTCCTCAGGAACAACTTGCTGACATGAAGCAAATTGGTTCTTTTTTTTTTTTCTTGCTTTAATTTATTTTGAGATTTATTCATAATTTATTTCAATGCTTATTTACTCTCCTTTAGTTTATTAATTTTTTTGAGAGGTTATCAATTTTCTTCTTACTTTTTCATGTTTTTAAACTTTTGCTTTGCGACTTTTTTTCTTAATTAGGCATCACATTACTTTTCCTCTCCTTTTCCTCTTTTGACTTCATTCTTTCTTCCTCGCTCTTTTTCCTTCTTTTTTCTTTGTTTTCTGTTTCATTTCTCTTGTTAGTTTTTGTTTTTCTCTTTCCTCTTCGCTTGTCCGTTTTCTTTCTTTCTCCTTGCTTTTACTTTTGTATTTTCCTTGCTTTATTTCTTCTGCTTTTCTCGATGTTTATCCTTCTTTTTTTTTTCCTTTCACCAATTTTTATACTTTTTTTTCCCTGTTCTTCCTTGTTTGTGTTGCTTTTTCTTTGTTTTACTTTTCTCTTCCTTTTTTTTTTGTTATTTTTCTTGCATTTTTTCTTTTTTTTTTCTTTACTTGATTTACTTTTTATCTTTTATCCTAGTTTTTTTTTTCTTCTTTTTTCTTGTTCCTACATTCTTCGGGATTTTCTTCCTTTCTCATTGATTTTCTTTTTCCCCCTATTTCCTTCTTTTTTTTTCTTTAAATTTCTTTTCTCTACCTTTTTTCTTTTTTCTTCCTTTCTCCAATATTTTCTTCTTTCTTCCTTTTCCTTTTCTTCCTTGTTTTCTTGTTTTTTTTTCCTTCATTTTTAATTTTAATTTCTTTTCTCTTCGTTTTTCTTTTATTCTTGATTTTTTTCTTCATTTTTTCTTTTCTTCATTTTTTTCTTTTCTTTTTTTTTTGATCTTTGCTCCTAGTTTTTATTTCTTCTTCCTTCCTTCTTTGTTCTTGCTTCCACTTTCTCCTTCAATTTCTTCCTTTCTCTTTTATTCCATTTTTCTTCCTTTCGCTATCATTTTCTTTTGTTTTTCATATTTTTTTACTTTTTCTTTAGATTCTGTTTCTCCTCTTGGTTCATCTTTTCTCCTTTTTTTCTTCATTTTTTTTCTTCTTTATAGTTGTATTCCTTCTTCATTTCTACTTTTTCCTTCTCCCTTTCTCTTTCTTTTTTCCTATTTTCTTTCTCCTAATTTTCATCCTCTTCCTTTCGCCTTCTTTTCCTTTTTCTTCTTTTCGTCTTTCTTTTTCTTCTTTTCCTTTACAGCATCTTCCATATTAATATCTTTTCATCTTTCGGTTTTTATATTTTCTTTCATGCTTACATATTTCAACTGTTTTCAATTAATTTATTCCCCTTCCCAGTTTTCCAGTTATCACCTTCAGGCATAAAGCATCATACTCGTATGCACAATGACCTTTGCATTTTAGCTAAGGAAGCCCTAATTTTCCACATGTCATGTTTAAAGACCGATCCCAGTTAAAGTAAAGACTAAAAATAAGAGTATAATATTTTATGGCATATAAAAATCTTCTGAAAAAACTCACTAGGCGTTTTTATTTGTTTTCTCTCGTTTTCGTATTCACTAGTTGAATTTGCTATGAAGTATGAATTCTACCGTAGTAATACTCCTGACACTCAACAGTATTTAGTACATCGCATATCGGTGAAATCCATTATATGATGTCGATATAGATTATAATATTACGATGGCACTCTAAAAAAACAGAATTTAATTATTTTGATTTGGTTGCTTGCTTTTATACACACTGCATGCTGGCATCTGAAATTTCCTATGGCTAAATCCATAACTGATTCCAATCATATGAAAGAGCGTACGGATTTTTCAGTTAATGAGTATTTTGTTTTCATATTTTCTGGTGTGTTTTTTTTTTATTGATGTTCAAACAATAACCAACCCAAGAGCCACTCATGTTAGATAGTTACTGAACAGCTTTATTGAAAGTAAATAAAGGCGTGTTACACGAATTTATCAGCTACTGTAAAGTTCCAAAACAATCGCATATCACGCATAATAATTGAACACGACGAAACAGCATGAAGCCTATAAGCAGACTGACTGAGTAATCTGGGTATTAAAGGTACCGATGAATGTTAGTGAATGTATTAAGGGTACCAATGAATGTATTAAGGGTAGCGAAGAATGTTAATGAATGTTAATGAATGCATTAAGATTACCAAAGAATGTTAATGAATATTTTAAGGGCACCAATGAATATTAATGAATGTATTAAGGGTACAAGTGAATGCTACCGAAGAATGTATTAAGGGTACCGAAGAAAGCTAATGAATGTTATTGAATGCATTAACGGTAGCAAATAATGTGAATGAATGTTAATGAATGTATTAAGAGTACCAAAGAATGTTAATGAATATTTTAAGGGTGCCAATGAATGACAATGAATGCCAATAAATATATTAAGGGTACCAGTGAATGTTAATGAATGTTATTGAATATATTAAGTGTATGAACGACTTAAGGGTACCGAAGAATGTTAATGAATGTTACTGAATGTATTAAGGATACCAAATAATGTTACTAAGCGTTAATGAATGTATTAAGGGTACCAAAGAATATTAATTAATGTTAATGAAGTTATTAACCGTACGAAAGAACGTTAATGAATGTTAATGAATGTATTGAGGGTACCGATTAATGTTAATGAATGTTAGTGAATGTATTAAGGGTACCAATGAATGTTAGCTGTGAGCGCACTACCTTTTAATTGATACAATGCCGTATAGTCTAGGAATTCTCCGTACGACTCGTTATTATATAAGCCAAATTTGTATTTAAGCTACTTAAAGTCATTAAGCAAACTTTCGATTATTAAGTGCTGCATATGTTCTTATATTGCTTATTTTAACTGATGTGGCATAATTTCCATATAAGACATTGAATAACTTCCATATCATTTCGGAATTATCCGTCTTCGATTGTACCGTGGTTTTAATCTAATCTCATCAATGAAGAGATCAACATCTAATGGCTAGACGTAAAAGTTCGGGTCTAAAAAGTTCGTCTAATAATACAACAGAATATACGGAGTTAATTTCTCATTTTCGTTTTTAGTCTTTCTTTCATTTATCTCATCCTTCGATTTGATCCTACGGTTCTATTATGGTAATTCAGTCAGCTTTTGATTATTTATCTTTATTTTTCTTACCTCCATAGTCTGTCCTTGTGCCAAACCTACCATTGTGGGGAAAGATATTAAGGCTACCAATGAATGTTAATGAATGTTATTGAATGTGTTAAGGGTAAACAGTTTTCTATCTCCTTTATTTTCTCAAATTCCTTATTGAATAACGCTTACTCTCTCTCTCTCTTTCTCTCTCTCTCTCTCTCTACTTCCAACAGGAATGTTATGGCAAGAGATAAAACAAGTTTACGCCGAAGGCATCTACAACTATTTTGATTCACTCTACAATTATCTGGATTGTGCGGTACTTACATTGTACATCACATCCTTTACACTACGATACCTGAGTATCATCAAGGTAGGTGACAAACTCAAAGCGTTTCCGAGCATTTTATCCTCATATATTTAAACAATCAATGTTTTTCTCATAACCATTATTAAAGTCTAATCGTAAGATCGTCAGACAGAAACTGGAACTATTTGAGTATTGAATGTCATTTGCCACATTAATCACGTTTTACCGTTACTTTATCGATGGCGGGTTGTAATCAAGTTCGATCCTCCGTGGGTCTTCAATATTTGTTGTTTTTTGTCTGAAATAAGCTAAGTCTAATACAGAAGTACATGCGCATTGATTTCAAACTGGGACAGTAATATCTTCTGCATAAATATCTGGGATGAGGAGTTATTTTTTTAACATCATTTACACTCGGACTATTGTCCTCATCTTTGTTGTTATTATAACAACGTTCTGGCTTTTGTGCACCCCGGCCCTCGCTATTCAATTGTTGATTAACAGGTTTTCACTGCGTCAAAGGCTGCACTGCTCAGTCCAGTGATTTAAATCCCAATTATTAATGTCACCAAATATATACGAGGCGTGAAGGTAGAACCAAAAAGTCCTTGACCTGATCTTCTACTAAAATAATTGAGCAAATGGCCAAAACCAGATTAGATTTTGTAATCCTTGTTCATCAGGTTGAAAAGTTTTCTCCATCCCTACATATATTAGAAAGAGAGAGAGAGAGGGGAGGAATGCATGGGTGTGTAGTCGAGTGTTTAGAACATGTGATTTCTGATCATGAGAGACCCAGGTTCGAATCACAACATTGTTAATTTTGGATACTATTGGTCTTGGGAGGCGATCTCAGCGCATGACATCTTTGGAAAATGACTGAAAACCATACCAGTTATCGACCGACGACTTGAGAGTGAAATTAAGTAGACATATCCGTCCGGAATAGTCGATGATTCTAAGAGTACGAAGTCGCGAGTTATCCTGCCCAAGGTTTTGGGCCTACTGGCCTTGTTCAAATGATTGATCAGATTGTACATTGTCTCTCATGAAACTGTAACGAGGTTTCGCTCAGCTTAATTGCAGTATAAACCTCAGATGGGCTCTGTGGTTTGAGCAGGCGTCAGTATTAGGGATTGGCTAGCCGACCTGGCAAATGCGTGTATTGGGAAACTAGTAGTTGCTGGTTATTTAGAAAGAAAGCAAGCAAGAAAGCAAATAAGCCTAGATGAAAATCATCTTTATTAGGACATTACTAATTTTTACTCTGATCGGCACACGATTACTCAAACTTTGGGCAAAGTTGTTCACTTTAGTAAATGTTTTTATTATATTTAATTAATTAAATTTAATTAATTATATTTAAACTATTTATATTTTAATGTGTACTTGGTGAACACAGACAGAAATTATAATGCTTGTATCTCATTATTTCCTTTTTAAAATCATTTCACCCCAAGCAAGGTGATAAAGAGACTAAAACTCATGTGGGTCACCGAGAGAGAAAGAACCTGGGAAAAGCCTTATTAAGGAGAGAGAACAATAAAAGAACAGGTACCCAAGAAGATAGAAAATCACGATTGATAGTGCATTTAAATTGTTGAAGATCAATGTTGACTTGAACAAAAGCCGGAGGAAAAATACAGGAGCAAGAAATGCAAGAAAAGAAACAGTTTGCATAGAATTTATATCTAGTAATTTCAACTCTAATATGACGAGACCTTGACGACAATCTAGTATTGCGCTTAAATTTGTAATGTCGGTGTGTCAACAAGGGAAGCTCATCAGAACAATTACCATGAAAATATTTATAGAAACGACACAGGGAAGATAGTTTGTGGAGGTGCGAAAATAATTGAAGCTGAGATGCCAGATTATTCTGTGGATTTTATCATGATTCTCTAAATACATTTCCGATTCTCCAGATCAGATAGGAAAGCAATATTCTATGCATGGGTGAATGGTAGTGTTATAAATGTGCAAGATAGATTCTGGAATTAAAAATTGTCTCGAACGCGAACCAACATTCCTAGCAGCAGATCTAGCCACCCTTCCAGTCGGTTGGTATTGACTTAGACGATGCCCCTTTTTTCTTCTTAAAATTCCTAATAAAAAAAATGTTTTTTTAATTCCCGGCGTTTCTTACTCGATTTATTATCCTTCTAATGTTTCTAAGAGATTAATGTTTATTTTCATCATTTCAGGTTCGAATCGCTTTAAAATACTTTGAATCTGTGGATTCTTGGGAGCTCCTTACTCAACATGATGAAACTGCTGAATCCTACTGGTATTGGCTCTTAGCTGGTAAGGCCCACTTCTTCAATGATCGATCGTTCTCGAGGATTGCAATCATAAAATATCATTAAAATTACATATCATTCAATGACTATTTTTTTTTAAAATCATTTAAATAAGTCTATAAATATTGTCGTTCTTGTTATTATTTCATTCATTTGATATTATGCAGTCAGAAATTTCCACAAGTAATCACTTTTGTACCATTCTATTTTTTTTAATCATTTCACCCGAGTGAGGCAATAAAGTCACTAGGACACAAGGGGATACTGTGAGAGGATATGAGTAAAAGAAAATGTTATTAAGGAGAAAGAACAATAGCAGAACAGGAATTAAGAAGACAAAAAGATAACAATGTGTATTGCATTTAATTTTTTCAAGATGAAAGTTGATGGGAAGGCAAGAAGCTATAAGAGAGATCGATAAACGAGAGGTGTGAGAGAAGAAACTGTTAGCATAGAACTTACGGTTATATCTAGCCATTTCAACTGTAAAATGATGAGACCTTGCCGCCAATCTAGTACTGCGTTTAAATTCAAAGAGTCTAGGTACCACAGAAAAGAATTTATCAGAAAAATTATCATGAATGTATTTATAGAAAAAACAGAGGGTAGCTACGTTATGGCTGTGGCAAAAAGACTAACGTCAAGATGCCAGGTCAGGACCACTGACACAGCATATTATTCTTTGGATTTTATGAAGGATCTCTAAATAAGAAGACCTGACCAGATGTCACTCTCCTGGATGTCAGCATTAGCTATCCTGATGGAAAGGAGAAAGAGTTCTTTCTCTCAGACGATTAATTAGGAAAAGTTTTGTTTGGAAGGCAGAAAGAGTAAGAAATTGTTTAAATACTTTTTCGGTACAAGGTAACATTTAAAGTATATCTATTGTCAAAAGAATAGTTAAATATGCATATATTATTAGTTCTCTCACATTTTGGAACAGAATATTTATGCTTTTTCTTAAGTTATTTCTGTTTTGTTAATTTGAAAACAAAGAACTCAACTCTAATCTATTCACAATTATTATAGCATATTTAGATAAATCATTTCGTTTGTATCTAACGTTTAAATTTTCGTGCTACTTATCTACTCACTAGATTTTCATATATTTTTTTTTAATTTTCATAATTCATGATTAAATAAAGCATCATTTAAGATGGAATAATCGAGAAAGATGTGAATCGAAAGCTAACGCTTCTGGTGGGAGTTAAAATTTATAAATCTCTCCCTTTTTTTATATCCCAAATAAAACTAGGAGCAGTTCTTGCTTCTTTTACATCCGAAATAAAATTGGTTGTTTATGAAATTAGAAACCGCTTCTCTCTTCGTTTTTTTTATTTTCATTTTTTTATTTATTTTAATCGATAAGAAATATGTAATTCTTATAGAAAAATAATCATAATAGATAAATATATGTTATAGATGAAATAAAATACGCAAACAAATGCAGGTAGCATACGATTTTCGGCGCCTAAAATGGCGTCGACATGAATTCAAATTAATGCCTAGTTTGTTGCATTCAACTTTGGCGATAATGCCATCAGGAAAGACATGGGTTTTCTTTCCCCATTTAAATAGCAGGTATTAAATAGCAGAGTAAAATGGCCAGCCGAACCTTGTATAACAGTCAATCTAACAGAAGAAATAGAAAGAATTCAAAACCGCCCCCAAAACATCGGAAACAACTTCAGTACCTTTTTTTTTCAAGAATTCGTGGCAGTTTCCTGATAATAAAGAAAAGAAAAAGAAATTTGTGAAGAGCCACGATCGTCGACGCTATAGAAGAACATAATTAAACAGACACAAACATACATACACGCAAACACACACATACAGGTCTATCTATCTATCTATCTATCTATCTATCTATATATATATATATATATATATATGACAAATTGGAAAAGTTTATTGTGTCGCGTTTCATCCGTTACTATTTCATTGGACTGAGCTTTGTTGACGTTGCCACCTCTACACATGTGGACGAAACTTTTTTGAAATTATATTTTTGAAAGAATTGTTTTTAACTTCGTCTTTTTCTTTTTTTCTCTCCATCACCTTTGTCTCTGACTATCCCACACTGTAACGACATAAAATCCCCCCAAAATGGTGATATGTTGTAAGAGCTTGGACGCAAATTTATCGTTGATGAACTAGCGATCAAGGCACTTTCCATATATTTTCGTCTCAGTGGATTATTTTCTCTTTTAATCAAAGTAGATTTCCCTATGTCAAAATTGTGGTCCGTCTTGTTACGCTGAACAACCGATGCGTTTTGTGTGTTGTTATTTAAAATGTCCCTTTTGTGTTCATATAGTCTCTGGTTTAAACTTCATGAGGTTTCTCCAATGTATTCATTCTGGAAATTTCTGCATTTGATAGAGTAAATTCCTCCTTAAAGTTTTGGCTGGTTGTTTTTTTTTATTTTATTAAGTCTTTGATTGGTTTAGATGTAATTGTGACAAATTTTATGTTGAGTTTAGATAAATTATTTTCGGTTGTAGCTGTGATAAATTTAGTGAGTAGAATAATATATTTATTTATTCATTGTCAGGAAGAACAGATCTATTTTGTAATATTTTGTTATATACCGTACCTATGAACACTAATACATATGTCCCAGTCCTCATAAATACGTTGGACATTATTGTAAGGGGTTAATATGCTGTCTAAGTAGTCCACTACTAACAGTGGTTTACCTAATTCCTGCCACAGGCGAGTGTTGTATTTTGTTGATGTTATAAAGATTACCATTTGATTTCCAACCTCCGTTTTGGTTATTCATCATTCAGTAATCTTTTCTAAGTTACAACATATTCTATGAGCCTTTTGTTTCCCATTGAAAATGGAATAGGGTATTGAAGGTTTATGAATGTAGTTTCAACATATTTCTCCTTTTCGTGTAAATAGTGAGGGCTGCAAATTCTGAGTGTCCTCAAATAGAATGATTATTGTATTCGATAATCATTCTATAAGAAAAAGAATACAGATGAATTTGGCTAGAGCGAAAAAAAATATTCTTTCAAAAAATTTTGAAACTACTTGCGTCTCGTTTCGTGCGCATGTGTAGACGTGACAACGTCAACAAAGCTCAGTCCAATGAAATCCTAAGTGATGAAATGCGTCACAAATAAACTTTTTTTGTTTGTCATATTTTTTCTAAATACTGTTTGTTGATATATAAAATTATATACAGTTATATGACACACACACACAGAGACACACACACACATATATATATATATATATATATATATAAGAAATGGACAAAGTCCGACAATTTATTTATTAAAGACATTTTTATGTTTAACGTTCCTTTTTTTTTATAGATATAAGTATTTAAGTAAATGCTCTGTTTATAATAAACAGTATTAAATAACATTTACCGGCCTGAATGTCCGAGAAATTTTCATAGAAAATATTCGTCCTTTGACAGGATTCGAACCTGCATCCTATACGGAACCGTCATTCACGCTGACGTGCCTTAACGATCGGCCACAAAGGAGCGTTCGGTAGGCAAGGCCGAATTTACTGCTTATAAACTTCAATCTTCCATGAATCTCGTACATTCATAACTGCTCTGGCGTATCAAATGTAAACAAATGACGTCATATATTAAGAAATGGACAAAGTCCGACAATTTATTTATTAAAGACATTTTTATGTTTAACGTTCTTTTTCAATTTTCAAAGGACGAATATTTTCTATGAAAAATGTGGCCCTTCACCTTGAACTTAGCTTTCATTTTAGTACATTTCCCAAGGCCGTCAGAAAAAACCTGGGGAAATTGTTGTTTGAGTTCCTTTTTGAGATTTACCAAATTGGACGTTGTACTTTGTATCTTGCGACAAAATATAGTCATTGGGCAATCCCAAAGATTGAATTTTTCTATCCAATCTGTTCCAAATAAGTTGTCTGAAGTTTTCAATACGTTGGCTTTGAGCTTTTTGGTAATTCCATTTAGTGTTACTGTAAGTATTACCTCACCTAAAATGTTAATCTTTTCGCCAGTTACGGATTTTGCTGTTTTATCCGTTTTTAATAAGGTCGACTTGTTTAATTTTCGCCAAGTACGCCAGTTAATGGTTGAAATATCGGAACCCGAGTCAAGCTGGAATTTAATGGACGTATTGAAAATATCCACAGTTACATATTTTCTTAAATTCCTAGCGACAATATTTTCAGATTTTCGTGGGTGTTGCGTTTAAATCGCTAATGTAGTAATACCAGCTTAATTTCACGTTCAACACTGCTGTGGGAACGCGTGGAGTTTGTGTGTATTTTTCGAGTACTCTGTCGCTATTGATATGGTGAGAACGAGATTCTCGAATCTTTCTGTCGCCACTGTTGTGGGACTGGTAAGGTATTGAAGTTTTCGACGTGAATGCGTTTCTCGAATTCTTCGTCGACCCTGATGTGGGATTGGTAAGGTATTTAGGTTTCGCCGTGAGTGCGTTTTTAGAATCCTCGTCGCCACTGATGTGGGACCAAAGTTGGGACAACAGAAGTAAAACATGGAACACGGATTAGAAGTAAGAAAGATATATTAACAACAGGTTACAGAGATAGTGTAAGCAGAGCTTACTATAAGTTAGTGTCCAACACTGGTAGTCGTACTAGACTCTCACTGTCACTCTCTATGTCACTGTCTAGAGTGCTATGTCGCCTACTTAATATAGGCCTGGAAGAGTCTATTGTGTAGGTAGTTTCCGGTCTCACAATATATATATATATATATATATATATATATATATATATATATATATATATATATAATTTTTAAACGTTATTTTCAGCTGATACTCATATTTGAGTAGACTCTACTTCTCTTTATTAAACAGTATATATATTGATTTTCGTCTACCAGCCTGAATATTCGAGAAATCTTATTAAATGAATATATGCGCTCTCTTTAATACGACTTCTCGAATATTCAGGCTATTAGCTGTCTTATTTTGCTTACGTGTTTCAACGCAGTCGACTGATGCTTACTTCTTGATGGTGCATTATTCCTGTATGGCAGCTAGAATGATACTCTGGTCTCTTCATAGCTACTTCTTCAAAGTTCTTGAATGGAAGGTTGACGCAAGAAAGGTTACTCTTCACTTTATCTTTATACCTGGGCCAAGGTCTACCAACATTTTTATGGAATTCACTGTAGAAAAGAACTTTTGGTATTCGATCATCACTCATCCTTGTCATATGGCCAGCGCAACGTATTTGTGATTGCATTATGAAGGTCTCGATGGTAGCAATCTTGCATTTCTCAAAAAGGTCGGCATTTAACCCTCGATCATCAAACATTAGGCCACAGATTATCCGTAGACAGACTTTATGGAAGACATCTAATCGATTAATGTGCCATCTATAAGGTGTCCAAGTTTTCAGAGCCGTACAAAAAAGAGTGAAGTCCTTAAATATATATATATATATATATATATATATATACATACACATTATGAAATGTGTGTGTATATATATATATATATATATATATATACACATACACATTATGAAATGGACAAAGTCCGACAATTATTTAAAGACATTTTTATGTTTAACATTCTTTTTATAGATACAAGTATTTTAGTAAATTCGGCCTTGCCAATCGAACGATCCTTTGTGGCCGAGCGATTAGGCACGTCAAGCTAAATGACGGTAACGTATAGGATGCAGGTTCTATGAAAATTTCTCGGACATTCAGGCCGGTAAATGTTTTTTAATACTGTTTATTATAAACAGAGCATTTACTAAAATACTTGCATCTATAAAAAGAATGTTAAACATAAAAATGTCTTTACATATGTAAGCAAAAAGTTTATACGATTTTCGAAGAGAATAATTAATTAAAATTGAAAAATGTTTCTTCTACAGATCGATATTATTGGGTGCCTCTTGATCCACACAATATCGCTGAATCCCTGTTTGCCATTGCGAACGTAATCAGTTTCACGCGTGTTTCTTATGTGCTGCCTGCCAATGAACTGTTTGGACCGATGCAAATCTCACTTGCCAGAATGATTGGGGTAAGTCTTTAACAACACTTTCGCATTTAGTATATAATATATATATATATATGTGTGTGCCTGTTAGTGTATCTGTATGTGGATGTTTGTGTGCGTGTCTGTGTGTACCCGCTCAACAAAGAGAATATAAAATATTATCTGTGCGCGTGCCAACTCAGTAGGTGAGAATTAAATATTTTCCATCAGCCTGTGTGTGTGTGTTCGTGTGTGAATATTACGCAAAATTATAACATCAAATAAGTTGATTTTATAACATTTATCAGCACACACAACTGAGCGGAAGTCCGAATTTAATAGGCGGTTTTCCCACACATGCCTTGGGTAAAATTTTCCCAGTTCTATCGGTACCTCCCTGCAGGTATGCCTCAGGTGTCAGAGAGAGTAATGTTTCTACCATTAGTAAGTGTGGTAGTAGTGTTGTTTCGTTGGATAACTTCTTGAAGCCGACTATATCATTAATAAAAGCTCTTATAAATGCGGTTTTAACATTGGATTATCCGCAAGTTCACTCTCAGAACCAAGTGTGAAATGGGAATCACACGTATACTTGGGTGCAAGGGATAAAAGATTGCTCAAGATTTTTCGGAGGTTTTTCTTTTGGGTGCGTCTTACACGGCAAGGATTAAGCACAACCCTCATACGTGTCAGAGATACTGCCTGGATGTATGAGACCGTGTAACCGGGCCTGTTATTTTTTTTTTTTTTAAAGCTATATATACAAATCAGAAACTGTCCTCGGACATAGAAAATGTAAATGCGTCTTTATTGTTTGGATCTACCACCAACTTTGAAGGTTTTTTTTGGTTAAGGGAGATAACTCGCTTCAGAAAATACCTGACTCCATGTGATATGCTCTATCTTTACAAGAGTCAAATCAGATCAAAATTGGAAAATTATTGCTGGAGCTGACAAAGCCTCTCTTGTTATACTTGATAGAGTTCAAAAGCGTTTATGCGGCCTGTTGGTGCAATATTTTCCACTCTACAGTCCATCTCCCACAGATGCAACGTCTCACTCTTTTGATATTCTCTTGAAAATTCCGTAGTAAATATTCTAGCGAGCTGCATTTCCTAGTTCCATAGTTCAAATCTTTACAACTAAGACCCGCCATACACAGGATAGAATCGTCCTCATCCCTTTCGTATTTAGTTGATATGAAAGAAGAGTCAACCGTTATCTAATTTCTTAATCTACACTTATTACCTCCTCTTACGTCGTTTAGTAACCTTGGGCCTTGTATTAACTCAACATTTAGTTAAATCAAATTTTCAGCTTTAAAAAGTAACTGGTTTATATTCATTTCGAAAAAGATATTTTTATGTTTATAAATAACAGATTATTTTGTTGATGGTTTTTAAATTGAAATTGACTATTTTTTTTTTTTTTAATAAGACCATCTTCTATTCTGAAAATAGTAACCCCGGTTTAGCATTTAGATAAAGGGAGGTAAGCAATGTTGCTTTTTTTTTATTATTTCAAAATATATTTTGCAAATGTAACAAATTCTATAAACTATAAATACAACGTGCCTTATATGAAATAAACGACTACGGACATATTTAAACATGATTTAACTGATACAATTTCGCTAATACAAATTTAAGGCATGTGAAAATCTATCAAGCAAAAGAAAACGCCTACGTAATGCAGCGGAACTGGGGATAGGGACATAGCTCTCGAAATGCTACTTTTATGTAACCATCGTGTGTTTCGTAAGTCATATATTTAAGATGTCAGAAAAAGGATTACAAGAATTGAAAAGTAAATAAAAAAAAAGCAACGAGAATGTTTCATTGCTTTTTAATCGAACTTGCATAAATTATATATATATATATATATATATATATATATATATATATATATATATATATATATATACTATTTATTGAATAAATTACAGACATTATGTGTTGCTAACTTTTAACAAAATCCGTCCATACTCACAAATAACCTTTCGATATTGAAGGATGAGAGAAATGTACTATAACTTTAATTTTTATTATTTTCATTTCCCAAGTACTTTCGATCTTCTTCTAAGATCATCTTCAGGGATGCAGGTAGCACAGACCTATATGTTGTTCATTAGTACAAGTATTTATACAAAGCAGTGCGATGCTATCCATTATCGTAATTTTTCATTAAGTTTTTAAATGCAAAGCGCTTGACAATGTGTTGTGTGTTCATTGAACATGAAAATTTATCTATTATGGAATTTTTTCATCTATGTTATAATGTTATGTCCATGCGCGCATTAAATCGGGAAAAACTGTTCCTTTATAGGCATTTCAGAAGAATTACGGTAAATTAAATTAAACAAAATATAAATTATAAATTGATATAAATCAAATTAAACAAAATATCATTCACCATAGGAGATAGTTATATAGAAGTGTATATAGAAGTGTATATGATATAATTCATATGCGCACATATTTTATCAGTATTATTAAAATAAAATAAAAATTAAATTTAAATTAATAAATAAATACATCGCATTCTTTTAGTGCGGCCTCGTTCCCAATAGCTGTTAATCATGACGTCACGTTAGACCATTTCCAGCTTTCCAAAGAATGCCAGTATGTAAACAAAGGAATTCTAACTACCACACAGATACCACATCAGTTCTTGATAATGACTGCAAAAGTCGAAAGTACTTGAACAAAAAAATAACAAAATATGAACTTCGGACAATTTATCCAAAACTTCGATCGCAATACTCAACACCTTATACGAAAATTGTAAAAATACAATAAACAATTAACCAGACAGACCTTGGCTGTTCTTTTTAATCAAAATCATATATATATATATATATATATATATATATATATATATATATATTAACAATATAGATAGTATTAATATATAACCCTACAAATCAAAATCATACTCATTCACTCCATAATGAGCCAAATGATAACACACACCCACAGCAATATACACGCTTACACATATCATACTCACTCACTCCCTAAGAACCAAATAACACACACACACTTAACAGAGACACATCCCCTCTCCAGGGACCAATAAAACTGTCAAACTGACCAGGGGAATTCAAAGCAGCATAGATCCATCCAGCTCTTATCTCAAGTAACAACTTAAAAGTGACTGTTTGACCAACACAAGGAATGTTAAAAGATTCATGTTAAAAAGATAAAAAAATAAAAAAACAAATGAAAACTACAGACAAAAGTTAATTTTCTCCATCAAGACATTCATTTCTGTAGTTCACTGCTACCAGCAAGCAGAAATATTTCTTCTCCTGATGATGGCCATGTAAGCCAAAACTAGTCGAGGAATCTAAATGAAATAATAATAATAAAAACGAAAGAATATTAAGCTACAACCTAGGGTGTCTGAAGATTTTAATTTTTTAATATTTTTATTGTTATATATATATATATATATGTGTGTGTGTGTGTGTGTGTGTGTTTGGATTTGTGTGTGTGTTTGGATTTGTGTGTGTGTGTGTGTGCGTGAATGGACACTGAGATCATAGCGAGAGGTGACAGTCTGTTTCATGCATGAATGCAATCTTCAGATCATGTTTGGTGGACGATAGCTCGATTATTCTTTATGTTGGTCAATGAGACATTATGGCTATCAAAATCAGTTGTTGCTGGTTTTGTGAATTCTCCTAACAGTTATTGGATAGATAGGAACGGTTGTATTTTAAATAATTCTAAAGGCTTTTGATCAGAAATCATTATAGACCAGAATGCTGTTATTTTATAGCTATTGAATAATGTTGTTTGTTAACTTTTAACTCATTATTTTTATTGATTTATTCATTAATTATTCCCTGTGGATTATTATTAAATTCATATAATCTTGGTAATGCGTGCATTTGTACGGTTTCTTAATTTGTTTATTATTTATTTATTTTATGCCTTTATTTGTTTGTTTTTCCTTTGGAAGATTGACTATCTCATTTGTTCAGTTTATAAAGCATTGGCTTTGTTTAAATTGTATTACAACGGCTGCGTTTTATGATGTTTTACAATGTATTCGAGTTTTCACTTCTTTAAGTAACGCAGTAAAACTTTTTATCCGAGACTGCCTATTGATATTAACTCTGTTTGTTTATTTAGTAATTTGTGTTGTTTTGAGAATGATAGTATAGCAATTTTCTTATCCAGACAAAATAAATTTCATATATATATATATATATATATATATATATATATATATATATATATATATTTGTTATGGAGTCCTCCCCTTTTTCATATAAGTGGACTCGACCAAAGTGTTACTTGGACTGCTGCCGTTAAATACCCAGAGTTAGAGAGTCAGTGAGAGAGTGAGTAGAGATAGTAGAAGACTGGGATTGTGATTGAGTTGGAGGTAGAGTAATAGTGTGAGGTAATCGCTTGTAGAAGTCAGTCACAAGCACGTAGACTCTAAGGAAGTCCTACTTCGAGACTGTATATATCTATATGATATTGCTACTAACCGCGTTCCTGGATTTACTAACCGTATTATCCTTTGTATTATTGTGTAAATACCTTTTATTTCTTATATTTAATTCTTGCGTTTGTCATTCATTGGAGACCGAATTTCATCTCGGAATCCACAACATATATATATCTATATGTGTGTGTGTGTGTGTGTGTGTGTGTGTGTGTGTGTGTGTGTGTGTGTGTGTGTGTGTTCATCACCATACCAACTATAGTTATGAAACAAACCCTTGTATCAATACTGGAGCTTGTTCGCTTCATTGCGCTGACACTATCTTCCCTTGACTCATATGTGATATCCAGGTCAGAATGACTAAAAGAGGAATATTTAGGGATATTCTAGGTCCCTAGTGCTATATCCAGGCCCGAAGACTACTTTTCAGTGTCGTCATTATACATGTAGCAGAATGGTTTCGCTTGTCAATCTCCAAACAGTTGGTACTGCACAGAGCTTCACCACTTCAAACAAATCATCTGCATGGGTTGTGTAACAACCCATCTTTTTTACACAGAATTAAGCTGTTGGAACCTCATACTTCAAGATAGACCAGTGATTCCGTCATTAAATATATATGCTAAATGTACATATAATTCTGTGTACCAAACGGAAGTCGTTAACCATAATTATTTGGTATTTATATGGTCGGCTCTTATATTTCGAAAGCTTTTATATTCTTTGTCCTACAGGCAGAAGATTTTTATCAGGTGTTTGTTGATCCGTGTAAGCTTTCAGGGAATTTCAAACTGTACCCTTTATTTAGTCTCCGGGGGGGGGGAGGTTTTTCTCACTCCGCTACACAGTTATAGAGGTATCTCGTTTTGTTTTCATTGTAGCATTGATTAGTTATTTCTTTCCCGTTTTCAATTGACTCTACGCCTTCACTATCACAGGTCAATAAACTAGTTGATCAAAACGTTTGTTTGAGAATTTGATGATATAGTGTTGTGGTAGGATCCACCTAATTTGCATAGTGGAGTACCGACCATATAAATATGGTTGGTACCGGGAAGAGAGGGAGGAATCAAAAGATTCAACCAGAGACTCTGCCCGACTGCGACTCAGTCAACACATTCTCCAGGAATGGTCTTACCAGGAATATACAAAAGACTATATGTAAATATTGTGTACACTTTCTTGTTTCAATACATTTTGTTCTAAGTACCTTTTGTTTTGCATTATTATTCCATGCATTAGTCAAGTTTCAACATATAGTAATTGTGAGATCAATCCCGTGCAGGCCTAGAAGGCCAAAGGGCAGGGGCACAACGACTAAAAATTTGTGTTGATAAAAAAGATGAGCAGATTGCTCCAAATGTAAATAACACTTGGTCCCAGAAATTCAGGCAAAAATGATTATTCTTTGAAAAAAAAACAAATAGTATGTAACATGCTTTTAGATGAAAGCATCCGCTACTATCCAAGCCATGAGGACAGATTAGGAAGATTTAAAACGAAATTACAAAAAGATAAAGTGACTGTTCCAATAGATCTCAGGGAATCAAGTGAACCAAAATAGAGATAATTCCGGTAAAGTAAAGAAAATGTAGAACATGGCAAAGTCAATAGCAATCTGAAGAGTGTCTCATAGACTCTCATGGGGAAATTGAAGTCTCTAAAGCTCCACGACTCCAGCGTCATCACTAGATGACGCTGGAGTCGTGGAGTGCTAGATTTCTGAAATACCTCTTGTGAGAATAATAATAATAATAATAATAATAATAATAAGAAGAAGAAGAAGAAGAAGAAGAAGAAGAAGAAAAGCAGTTTAAAATGACTCTTTGCTTCTGTATGAATTTTATTATTTGATAAAAAAACAGAAATATTACGATATTACTGTGCGTTTCTTTGAATTTTGTTTTGAGTGACAAAAGAGGATATTCTATGAAATTTTCAGCAGAAAAAAATGTTTTCAAAAAAAGCCTCGGCTTAAAAACGATGAAACAAAACAATTTCGTTCATATAAAAATAGCTTACGGGTTTATCAAGATATTAAAAAGCAATATCTGTCTACATTTAAGCATATATTGAAAGAAATCTTCTACTAATACGCATTTCGAATCTCAGACGAAAAGAATAATAATTAGGGATATTAATAACAAACCGTATTAATCTTCCTCAGTCATTACTAGTAAAGGATACATATAAAGGAAGCAAAAGTTCTTACTGTAATCTTCTACACACGTTTCTTGTGGATAAATAGGGCCGTTAATAGAAAAGGATACTAATAATAGTCATCGATAATATCAAGCTGCATTCATTCAATGTAATTTCTAACTTTAAATGTCAACCTTAACAAGACTTAAAAATTTGAGCAACTTTTAACCACGAAGTTTTTGGACATCTTGCTCCACTCCTCCTTGACGGCAGCATTTAGGGAATAAATGATATTGCTGGGAAGAGTCTTCGTTAACTTGCTCCAAAAAGCACTGTTTGCTTTTGTCTGTAGACGGCTGGCCAGAAATAAGGAAAGGAAGCTTCGCAAAACTTCAGCAATTTCTTGACTTTGTTGCCGAGAACATCGATATAGGTGCCCAGAAGGTTGCGCGCTGTGAATTTGGAAACATTGCAGGGTTCTTGATGCTGACTGATGCAGTCGAAAATAATGGAACAAAAAAAATCTCAGTGAACGTGAACATCGCAATTTCTCCACAACGTTTGATTTGATATATATCTTATTCGAAAATTGGAAAAAATACAATAAAAAATTAAACAGACAGACCTTCCCAGTTGTATTTAATAATGTTTATATATATATATATATATATATTATGAAATGGACAAAGTCAGATAATTATTTTAAGACATTTTTATGTTTATACATTCTTTTTATAGACACAAATATTTAAGTAAATGCTCTGTTTGTGCATGCGTGTGTGTGTGTGTGTGTGTGTGTCTGTGTGTTAATAGATAATAGATTTTTGGAAACCCTCATATACACACCGCACATCACAAAAAACCAACAGGAAAAAATGATCATATGTTTCATCCCAACTTACAGTAAATACGCAAAAACAAAGAAAATATGCAATTTAAACTCATACACAACATTTTCCATATCGACCACTCTTCCCAAGATATTCAACAAAAACACAGTCAAAATCATCTAAAGTTGCATCGAGAACATGACACAAATAAAAAAAATGGCAACGGAAAACAACCAATGAACCAGACGTACAACTCAAACCCACGTGTAAATGCAAATAAAACAACGAATGCCTCTTAAGCGGAATTTGCTTACAGGACAATGTAATATATCAAGCCATTGTAAAGTCAGCAGATAACGAAAAAAATATACATAGGAGTAACTGAAGAACCCAAGAAACAAAGAAACATCTTTTACAAATAGTAAATGCTCGAACGGCACAATGTTTTCTGAAGATGTATGGGAAATTAAAAACAAAAACAAAACACACCAAAAATATAATGGAAAATATGAAAAACAGCACCAGCTTACAACATTAAATCCAAAAGCTGTAAACTTTGAAGAATAAAATATCTATATATAAGTTCCTGACCAACTCAAATTAAGAAATAAACGATCAGAACTTATTTCAGCATTTAGACACGAACACAAACTTTTACTACGTTACTTAAAATTCTAAAACTGAAAACGATTACTTTGTAAAATACAACCATGAAAAATGTAAATATATGTGCTATACACCATGCAGATAATACAACATACTTTAGACTTTAAACTAAACATAATATAATTAACACCAGAAGAAAAAATAAAATAATAAAAAATAAGTAAAATAAAATAAACAAAAGTTTAAACCAATAAGTAAGTAAACAAATTAAGTAAATAAATTAAGTAAATATTGAACAAATTAAATAAGTAAACAAATTAAGAAAATAAATTAAATAAGTAAACAAATTAAGTAAATAAGTTAACAAATTAAATAAATAAACAAATTAAATAAGTAAACAAATTAAGTGAATAGGTAACCAAATTAAGTAAAACAAATTAAGTAAATAAGTAAACTAATTAAGTAAATAAGTAAGCAAATTAAGTAAACAAGTAAACAAATTAAGTAAATAATAAACAAATTAATAAATTACGAATGATTACATAAACAGAAGTAAATGTAATAATAATATTGAGTAAAAAGGTTGACAAAGAACACTATAGAAGAGCTACAAAAAACCACAGTCCGATCCACGATTAGTCATACTCAATAGCCTCAAGAACAATTTAAAACATCACCGTTACCGCCGAAACAAAAAACCATTAGGATAATAGAATGAACCTTCTACCCATAATGCACCGTCGACCAGCATATATAAATCGTCTATCCAAAACATAATGCATATGGCCTGAAGATTGCTTTTAAGCACGAAACTTTCATGAAATTTCAAGCGGCAGCATTCATTTATTCTACAGGAATAGATTGTTCTTGTTACGCTGTTCATGTATAGGGATAGCTCGTTTTGTTCTTACCGTAGCACTGTTTAGTTATTGCTTCTCGGCTTTCCACTGACTCTACGTCTGCACTGTTACCTAGTTGATTAAAACGTTTTTTTTTTTTTTGTTTTTTTTTTTTTGGCGGACGGGGGGGTCTTTTTAAAATTTGATGACATAGTAATTGTGAGTTCAATTGCATGCAGGCCTAGATTCGGATCTAGAAGGCCGGAGTGCGCAATGACACAAAACTGTGATAATGACAACAAAGAGGAGAGCATTGTTCCAGATGTAAATAACGTAAATAATGGTAACACTTGTTCATATAAATTCAGACAAAAATCTGTTCTCACAGTCAAAACATGAAAAACTAACACCACCAAAAACAAAATCCCTTGAAAATGGCTAACGAAATGGCCGAACGCGCCTGGAACAATGAAAATTATGGAACATTTTTTTACTCCCTTATACGCATCAAACGGAAAAATAACCTAAGAAAAAACTAAATAAAAAATTAATTCAATTTTCGTTGTCTGCCATACTTGACGAAAAATGTTTAAAAGAGAAGTTTCTGTCTAAATATACATTAATTAAAGACTCAACACACGAATAACTGTTTCTGACGTCTCCATCATTGAACTATGAAGACAAAGAAACATGAATAGTTCACGAATAATTTATTTGTTGATAGCCATCGCGATCATGGCACGAATTTGATATGGCTTTTTAACGATTCATAAAATTAACTTTGCTGTTCATTCCGGTGTCCTCACACATTTTCTTTCTGTTTTTCCTGCAGGATATCTTGAAATTTGCTGTGATAATATGCGTAGTCATTCTTGCCTTCATGGTGGGCCTCTACAATCTATACTGGTACTACAGCATCCGTTCCAAGGTGGAAATCCAGGCGGGAGGGCATGGAATCCATACATCTGCTGAAAGATACTTCAAAGAGTGAGTAAAAACAATCTTAATGCAAAGACCTTGCTGAAACTTAATATCAAATGGTAAAGTATTTATATTTATTGTATAAAAAATACAATTATGGTACAAGGCCGGAAAGAGGGGAAAGGGTTTAGGCTGGTCTTCACTGACTATCCTATACCTAGCTAATCCGATTCACGACCCATTCACTCGTTACAATTCGTTCATTCACCACAAAATCTCGTCCGTTTCCAATCAATCATCCACGTACCATAATACCGCATCCTCTCAGGAGGGGCTGCAAAGAAACGCACCCGGTGTGTAATGAAAACAGAACAAAAGATTCTGTCTAGTAATCTTTTATTCAATTAAGAGTCGTACTACTCGTCTACTTGACAAGCGGAAATGTACAGCTTTTATAGCTTGGATTATCAAAGGGGAGATAATCCATATTCACAACACGGTGATTTAAAGTTTTACGGTAATAAAATTTATACATAAAATTTACGGATGAATGCAAATAAAAGGGGAGGGGGGTGAACCCATAAACAAACAAAATATCAAACAAGGAAAACATAAATCTAACTGATGTTAGTAGGACCCGTCCAACCCTCAAAAGGAGAGGCCGCCGCTGTATTCTGCCCTACGACAGAATCAAGGAGCTCTTTCGCTAAGGAAGAGGGAAGGGAGAAAATATAGACGGACATGGGGAATCAATAAACCTGACCAAGTCGAGATGAAAGGGCAAATGGTAAAGTATTATTAGTAAGCTAATCTGTAAAAGTAACAGTATGAATTTGTTTACTGAATTTTCTATTGTGACTGGTGTATAGTTTCGATTTGTTTTGACATTTATAGCAGTTTTATTAGTTGTAACAGTTGTAATTATAATTGCAGCAGAAGTAACACTAATGTGTTTGTTGAATTTTCTAATGCGTCTGATGTATAGTTTTGATCTCTTTGGTTATATATAGAAGGTATAGCAGTCATAATAACACATGTAAACCCCTAATTATAACCGTAGCTGTAATAATAACTGTAACAATGCAATCTGAATGTGGCGTGCGGTTCGGATTTTTTTCCGTTTTCTGTATCATTAATTTCATAAGTCTTGTTTGTCATTTTATTAATTCAGCTGCACCATAATTGTTTTTCATCTTGCAATTCCTTATTCAAATGCTGTATTATATATTCTTTGACTTGCTAGTGTTTTAAATACTTATATTTCTCGTTCACTGACTACAAAGTGAACGTCAGCTCTTAGTTTTTAACAATATGTCTATACGAATTTCAGCATCATTTTGCCTCTTTACTTACATCTCGAAAGAAAAATGTAACTTTTAAATTGATCCTCTATTCAGCGTTTTGACTTGAAAGATATGAAGATTCGAAACGATATTCTCTAACTTAAATTCGTATATTCCTTTGAGTAAATCTCAATGTCTCAGTTGTAAATCTCCATAATTGCGACAGTAGCTAATAGTTTTCATACAGATCCATCAAATTAAATGTTTTTTTTGTCATTTACTTCAATTTTAAAAAATGGCATGTACATCTGAGGGCAAAAGATATTCCGATATAGACAAGTATTGCCAAACGAATGAGAAGTCTCAGAAATTACCCTTGCAAACCTTGTTAGACCATCAATGATAAAATATTAAAAAAGAAAGATGTCCCAAATACTGATTGTGAAATGTCAGTATTTTTTGTTTGGCTCCGATTACTATCTTGGTTCTCGTTAAAAAGCTATTTCGCAATTCTTTTCACTTGATTATAGTTTAATTTCAGTTTGTAATGTGGCATGTTTCGATTATATCAAAAGGGTGAAAAATTAGTTTCGCGATTTGGGCAATTATTTTATTAGGATTTCAATCTTGTCCAACAGAATATCGATAATGACAAGTGGACGACTTGTTTTTTAATAGCTTCTGCACTTGTGGTAGTTGGTTGCAGATTAATTTTTGAAACTACATGGCCAATTTAATACAATAATAATGTGATACCAGTGATTGCACACGATCAAATTTATATGACAACTAGTTAGTCGATAGTTATGCACTGATGGAGAGAGCGTATAAAAACGCCATCTTGTCATTTTGAAATACAGAAAAATACATTAACAAAACTTTTCATAAAATAGAACCCCTTCAGAACAGCATTCTGCTGAATCCGTGCAACTCAAATTCAATTTGAACATCATTCTAATTTACGTATTATCGTTTATATTCTCATGTATTTGTCAGCCTTATATTATCATAGCCTTGTTTCTTACAACCTCCTAAGAGAAGGCCATTTTTCTTAATATTGCAGTTTATCAGCTTTATAATACCAGATACTGTTCCGCATGTTAAACTGGCCGTCTATACATTGAAGACAATGCATAATAAATGTCGCTTGCTCTAAAGGTGCGCAAGTATTTGTTGCATTAATTTTATTCAATAGTGTATTGTCTTTGATCTTTCGGATAATATGGTTCATAAGGAGATTGAAGAAAGGTGAAATAAATACATTTTTACTTCAGTTGACAATTACTTGCAACTTTGTTCTTTTCCTGGCTTTCTTTTGCTTACTTTGGGCTTCAAACTTGGAATCCCAATAGAAATAAATCTCAACTAACGCATGGAAATTATCGTTATGAATATGGCTAATCATTTGAAAGTTACAGGGAATAATAACATTCTTTCCGCCCAAAAATAAAATGTCAAATCAACAATTCAAAATACAATTCCATTTAGCTTCCGCTATTATTTTTTTAAAGTATAAAATGTTCTTTATGACTGAACGAATAATTTTTTTCGGTTTTCTCTATTGTAGAATTTCTCACACAATTTGAATCTCTCCAAGCTTATGTGAACGGAAATTTCTTCCACGGTTCGATATGAGGCAAAGGTTGATAAGCCATAAAAAATAAATCAATCAAAAAGTCGATGTGTGTCTTTATATATTATATTTACCTAGAATTTAATCTGATTCCATGATGCATAAAATTGAAAAGAAATTGCAAATTAAAATAATTTCCGATAAAAATCGAGCAGTATGAATGTGGATTTTTGCAGTAAAAAATAATATTTTCCCTTCATTTGAAATCATTCGGAGGGAGGGAGTCGCTATGACCGTTCCGTTATTTGAAATCATTCGGAGGGAGGGAGTCGCTATGACTGTTCCGTTATTTGAAATCATTCGGAGGGAGGGAGTCGCTATGACTGTTCCGTTATTTGGAATCATTCGGAGGGAGGGAGTCGCTATGACTGTTCCGTTATTTGAAATCATTTGGAGGGAGAGATTTTCTGTGGATGTCCCGTTATTTGAACTCATTCAAAATTAGGCCCTGTGACTATCCCGTTATTTGAATTAATTCGGAAGAAGGCAGTCACTAAGTCTGTTCTTATATCTGAAATCATTCAGAGGGAAGGAGCCTATGTCGATGTTCCGTTATTTGAAATTATCCACAGGAAGATAATCGCTGTTGTTGTTTCGTTATTTTAAATCATTCGGAGATACGGATTCGCTACGGCTGATCATATGAAATTAAACAAACGTTTGTCATTATTTTAAATAAACCGAATTTTTCGGCATGATTATAAAGAAGTTTTAGATTTATAGATTTTTAAAAAACATTTTACCTATGCAATGACAAAGCTTTATTTTTTGCAGGAAATAAACAGCAATAGAAAATAATCTTAAAGCTATAAAATAAAATTAAAAAATATCAGTTGCACTTGAAATCTTACATATCCTAACCAAGGGGAATGGAATCACCACTTCGGTATATTAAATATCTAATATTAAATCTATCTATTGTTGATGAATTCTTATTTTGGTTTTAAGTATTTTTCGGTGGGGGGGATTTTAGATGGTTCGTGATTCAGTTAATAAAATAAAATACCAGAGATCTGATTCAGATTTAATATCGATCGGGAATATTTTGCCTAAAAATAGTTGAACTGTGATGACCTCAACATATACTGGGATCATCTTAAGGCATACCAAATTAAACTTTGTACCCAAATCTACGTTAGAAAGTTAAAAAGAAAAAAAAGGTACATCAAGGATTGACCTCCGAGGTGAAATAAAATCTACAAAATGCAGAATCAGGCGTCAAATTATGTCGTTGGATGCAAAAGCCTAAATGGGAAATTAACACAAGACTTAGAATAGATACACATAAGACAACCAGGAACATCCAACTCACGAGGCAGACGGTATAATACCTCGTAAAACATCAAACGTTGGAAGAAAAAACCAAAACCACATATCCTTTGATTGGACAATGTTAACTTAGATTAAAAGAATGTTAGTGTAGCATGCTTATCAGTGCTTGCTATCATAATTTGAAAACGATCAAGTTCTTTTAATCTGAGTTTTTCATGAAGTCATTTTGTTTTCTGTTTGTTCTTGATTTAGTTTTTCGTAAAGAAAAAATGTCTTATTTCTCTATTTGAAGGTAATGGGCATATCTAGTAGTATTCTCTCTGTATTCTCACTCACTTGTCTTTCTTCCACTTTGGTTTTGGACTCCAGTCTTTAGTCATACATTGCACTGATATGATTGAAACACAATTACTAGATATGATAAAGTGTAAACAACGCAACACTAAATAAGTATATGAACGTATATCAGTTTTTTCACTTAGTAACTCGTTATCTAATGTTTATGATTTGATTAACCAAGCAATAACTCAAACTGCCAGGGACAAAGCTACAGAGATCTGTAACATGAAACTATTAACTCTTCGAAATTTAGATTTTCATAAACTTTCCATATAGACAGTACTAGCAGTAGAACCCGGCGTTGCCCGGGGATGTAACAGTAAGAGATAGATTAAGTATCGACCATCATAAAGACTGAAAAATAAAATTGACAAAGATTATTGTTTAAGGTTGACGGACACGCATGTCTTAATTAGTTTTTTGTTTTGTTTTTTGTTTTTGTTTTTTTTTTATGAATTGGTCAAACCCAAACTCAAACAAAAACATTGTTTTCAATCGTTATGAGTCTACCGATTGAATAGAATTTTATTATAAACGAT